TGTTCTATTTCTTTGAAGAATGTCATTGAAATTTTTATTGGAATAGCGTTGAATCTGTAAATTGCTTTTTGGTTGCATGGCTATTTTGTTTTTTGTTTTTTTTTTAAAAGCAAGTATTTATTCATTCGTTTGTTTGTTTGTTTGTTTATATAAGCACTGGGTACAGTTAGAAGCGCAGGAGGGTGAGAGAATTCACCAGAGCCAGAGCGGGGAGCAGAACAGGCAGACCGACGAAGTACACTGCTGAGGGGAGCAGCGGGCTGCGGGAGAGGTCTGCACGCCATGTGGGACCCTCCTCCAGTGGCCGGGGAGCAGCTGGGGATAGAACTGGCACTGCAGAGGCTTCGGGCAGCTTTGCAACCCAGCGCTCAACTGCTGCGCCACGGGGGAAGCCCTTGGATGGCCATTTTGATAATGTTAATTCTCCCAATCCATGAGCAGGGGATGTCTTTCCATTCTTTGTGTCATCTTCTATTTCTTTTCACAGTGTTTTATAGTTTTTTGTATAGGTCCTTTACCTCTTTTATTAGGTTTATTCCCATGTATTTGACTTTTTTTGTTTCAGTAATAAAAGGGATGGTTTTTTTGATTTCTTTTTCTTCAGATTTATTGTTTGTGTATAGGACGGCTACTGATTTTTGTGAGTTGATTTTGTATCCTGCCATTTTACTAAAGTGATTGAACCCCCAAAACGCCACAGAAAAACTAAACTAAGAACTCTGTGTTAAATGACATAATACAAATGGGAATATCTAGTGAAGTCCTTGACTCCATAGTAACAATTATGTTAGTCTCCTAATTTAACTTTATTCTAATAATATTTAAAACTACAAATCATAAGTGTATGCTAGTTTTAGATGTTATATAGGGCACTTTATTTATTTGCATGTAAGTATACAAACACTGAAACCCCTTACGTGTCATAAATAAGGCAAGGCTTTTCTCCCCATTAAATAAATAAGGCTTAAGGAGATCAAGTAACTTGCCCGGGAGCCAGGATTTAAATTCAGGTCTATGTTGCTGTAAAACCCTTTTTACTTAACGATGTTTATATTCTTGGTTAGAGATGATTTTGAAATTACTAGATGTTCTTTTACAATGCCTTTGGTCACAGTGGCAACTATATAGAACAATTAGTCATCAGAAAATGGTGACTTTAGTCAAATTACTTTTTCTGAAAACCACATGAGGTCTTTTACATGGAATGACATATTAGTAACAGTGATAAAGTATTTGGGATACTTCTTCAGAGTGTCAAAGACCTTGGTAGATAACAGCTTTGGTAGTTGTGAGCAGTGAAAACTGTAGAACCTGTTGGAAAGAGGAGGAGAGCAAGAGGGAGAGAAAAAAGAAGTAGAAATACATTTTTCTTCCATACTAGATTGCACAACTTTCTGGGTCCATGTTCCACTCTTAATAAAATTTTAACTTCAATACATGAATATTTTCTTATTTCAAGAGTGAACATACATATGTACATATAACCAAATATCAAAGTCTCATTGGCATTTGGCCTCCCATCCCTACATCTCTCCCCAGTTATTTTTTCCTATAAAATGTTTGTTAGGCCTCCCCGGTGGCGCAGCGGTTGAGCGCTGGGTTGTGAAGCTGCCTGCAGCCTCTGCAGTGCCGGTTTGATCCCCGGCTGCTCCCCTGCCACCGGAGCAGGGTCCCACATGGCTAGCAACTTCTCCTGCCGCCCGCTGCTCCCCTCAGCAGTGTACTTCGGTCCTTCTGCCTGCTCTGCTCCCTGCTCTGGTTCTGGTAAATTCTCTCACCCTCCCACGCTTCTGACTGTACCCAGTGCTTGTATAAATAAATAAATGAATCTTAAAATAAAATAAAATGTTTTTTAAAAAATGTTTATGTTAGCTTGTAATGGGTGTCTTGCTATTTTTAAATGAATTAATAAATATTTTTAAACTTTGTTAGTTTTAATTTCTAATATTCGAAAATATTGACAGCTATAACGCAAATAAAAGACTTTCAGAGTCCTCAATACTTTTTGAGAGGATAAAGGGATTTTGAGACCAAATAATTTGAAAACTGGTACAGTATATTATTAAGTCACTAGTAATGATACTGTATAGTTCATGGCAATGTAGGACAATCCCCATGATATAATAATCCCCATGAGAAAAGCAAGGTACAAATCCTATAAATATTATTGTAGAACCAAAGACTAGAAAATAGTGCTGAAGAAAATACAGTAGGATACAGATAGTCTTTTTTTTTTTTTAATAATAAATTTTATTTTTATATTCCCCATACAGTTGCAACCCCCCCTTTCTGATCCCAATCCCTCCCCTCCCGCCCCCCACCCCCCCAAAAGTGTCTCTGTTTCATAGTTTTTTGTTGATTCTGATTTTCACTTTCCTATAGTTATTCATTTTCCTGGTCCCTTATTTAAGTTTTCTAGATTCCTGCTATGAGTGAGACCATCCGGTATTTTTCTTTTTCTTTTTGGCTTATTTCGCTGAGCATGATCCCTTCCAGCGCCATCCATGTTGCTGCAAATTGCATGTGCTTATCTTTTTTGAATGCTGAGTAATATTCCATGGTGTATATGTACCACATCTTTTTGATCCAGTCATCTATTTTTGGGCATTTGCTGCTATAAACATAAGGGTGCAGGTGTTCTTTGGAATTGATGTTTCTGTGTCCTTTGGGTAGATACCTAGGAGTGGAATTGCTGGATCTTATGGAAGCTCTATGTTTAGTAGGTCCAGAAATCTCCACACAGCTCTCCATAGTGGTTGGACCAGTTTGCACTCCCACCGACAGTGCAGAAGAGTTCCTTTTTCTCCACACCCTCGCCAACATTTGTTGTTGCTAGTTTTTTTAATATGTGCCATTCTCACTGGTGTAAGATGGTATCTCATGGTAGTTTTGATTTGCATTTCCCTGATTACAAGTGATGTTGAACATTTTTTCATATGCCTGTTGGCCATTTGCATTTCCTCTTCAGAGAAGTTTCTTTTTAGCTCTTCTGCCCATTTTTTAACTGGATTATTTTCTTTTTTGTTGTTGAGTCTCATCAGCTCTTTGCAGATTTTTGTGATCAGTCCTTTATCATTAGTGTTGGGTGCAAAAATGTTCTCCCAGTTGGTGGGGTTTCTCTTTGTTTTTGTTATTGTCTCTTTTGCTGTGCAGAAGCTCTTTAATTTGATGTAGTCCCAGCTGTTTATCTTTGCCTTCACTATCACTGCTTTGGGTGATGTGTCTGTAAAGATGTCTTTGATGTGCAAATCTCGTAGTGTTTCGCCTATATTTCCTTCTATATATTTTATGGTTTCAGGTCTTATGTCTAGTCTAGTTCTTTAATCCATTTTGAGTTGATTTTCGTGTATGGTGTGAGGTAGTGGTCAAGCTTCATTCTTTTGCATGTAGCGACCCAGTTTTCCCAGCACCATTTATTGAACAAACTTTCTTTGCTCCAATGCATAGTCTTTGCTCCTTTGTCAAAGATTAGTTGACCATAGATCTGTGGGTTTATTTCTGGATTTTCTATTCGATTCCATTGGTCTGTATGTCTGTTCTTGTTCCAATACCATGCAGTTTTGATGATTATGGCTTTGTAGTATATTTAGAAGTCTGGGAGTGTGATGTCTCCATTCCCTTCTTTTTTTTTCAGGAGAGCTTTGGCTGTTCGGGGTTTTTTGTGATTCCATATGAATTTCATCAATAATTGTTCTATTTCTTTGAAGAATGACATTGAAATTTTGATTGGAATAGCATTGAATCTGTAGATTGCTTTTGGTAGGATGGCCATTTTAATAATGTTTATTCTTCCAATCCATGAGCAGGGGATGTCTTTCCATTTCTTTGTGTCTTCTTCTATTTCTTTTAACAGTGTTTTATAGTTTTCTTTGTATAGGTCCTTTACCTCTTTTGTTAGATTTATTCCCAAATATTTGATTTTTTTTGTTTCAATAATAAAAGGAATGGTTTTTTTGATTTCTTCTTCTTCAGATTTATTGTTTGTGTATAGGAAGGCTACTGACTTTTGCGTGTTGATTTTGTATCCTGCCACTTTACTGAACTGATTGATTAGTTGAATTAGTTTTTCTGTGGAGTTTTAGGGTTCTCTACGTATATTATCATATCATCTGCAAATAGTGATAGTTTGACTTCTTCTTTTCCTATTTGGATTCCTTGGATGTCTTTCTCTTGTCTTATTGCTCTGGCTAGGACTTCCAGTATTATATTGAAAAGCAGTGGTGAGAGTGGACATCCTTGTCTTGTTCCAGATCTTAATGGAATTGCTTTCAGCTTTTCACCATTGAGAATGATACTGGCTGTTGGCTTGTCATAGATGGCCTTTATGATGTTGAGGTATGTTCCTTGTATCCCAAGAATACACTATGAACTAGCCACAACCACTGCAGCATGAGTTCGATCCCCAGCCAGGGAGCTAGCCCACGTGGCACAGCAGACCTCTCCTGTCTCACTGCTGCCCTTCTCAGCAGTGTATTTCACTCAATCTGCCTGTTCTGTTCCCCACTCTATGTCTGGTGAATCCTTTCACCACTTCTCCCCACCCCCGTACCTCTAGCCTGTACCCCAGTTCTTGTATACATAAATAAATAAATCTTTAAAAAAAAGAAAAGAATGTTCATTTGACTTTATTTGTACTAGCAAAAATTGAACTGACCTGAATGACCATCAATAAGGAAAACTGGCTTGATAAACTGTCAAAGATTAGTTGACCATAGATCTGTGGGTTTATTTCTGGATTTTCTATTCGATTCCATTGGTCTGTATGTCTGTTCTTGTTCCAATACCATGCAGTTTTGATGATTATGGCTTTGTAGTATAGTTTGAAGTCTGGGAGTGTGATGTCTCCATTCCCTTTTTTTTTTTCAGGAGAGCTTTGGCTATTCGGGGTTATGTTTTGAATTATTTCATCCTTGGTTTTTCTAAAGGTTTTTATACTATAAAATTTTTATATGGTGAAAAATATGTTAAAGTATGGAATGGGAATAATATTTCTATTTCAGAAACTGTGTAGTGACGCTCAAGTTAAAGTCTTTGGGAAATGCTGCCAACTGAAACCTGGAGGCGACAGTTCTTCCTCCTTGGATAGTTCTATAACTTCAACTTCTGATGTAAAAGACCAGTGTCCTAAGTACCAGGTAAGGTCACTGATGACATTATTTTCTTCATTCCTAATGTTTTTGAGTATTTGCAATGTGATAGGTACCATTTTAGGAATTGGGGATATAACAGGGACTAGTCCTTGCCCTCTTTGAGCTTGCATTGTAGCTGGGGAGACAGATAACTAGACAAGTAAGTTTATGAATTTTTGTACATCTTAGCAGAGAGCACGTCTAGAGATCTGTGGGCTACTGGGATAATTTCTTATTTCGTGTACACTTACTAAAAGTCAGCTGTAGTAGGAAATAAAATATGATTGGAAGTATGCACAATCAGAAATGTACACTTTTATGTATATTGCTCTTTTGAAATACCAGAATTAAATAAATCAATGATAACAGGAATTCTCTGTCAATATATTTTACATAAGATGAGTGTTTGGTTTTATACTAAGCAAATGTCGTGTGACGTGAATTTGTCTCATCCAAGCGTGCATGAGTGAATCACAAATATTTTATAATTAGCAGTACCAGAATTGAATCCTGGACTTTTAAATTATTTGTAATTAAATGATTGCATTTTGATGGAAATTGAGACTTACACCACATTGTGATAGTATATGTAGACTAGCTCTGAAGTTATTAAAATCCAAATAGTAGGAGGTACTGCCTTGTTACCCTGTCTTCCTCTGTAACTCCTTGCCTTAGGCATGAAACCACAACAAGTTCTTGATGGGCACCAGTTCACTTATATGGGAAAATTTCTAATTTGATCAATTGTACAAGATTGTCTTTCACCTAATATTATGTGTGAAGAGTGAATATACAAACATGTAGGTTGTAGAAACCTGAAGCACAGTAAGTGATTGTAACCCCATTTTGCATCAAAATCCTTAGAGATTTTCTATTTTAAAGAAGGTAACCCACATATTCTGGTAGTAAGTCTGGTACCCACATATTCTGGTAGTAAGTTTAGTGTGGTCCTGGGAATCTGCTTTCTTTAGCAAGAAGGCAATGAATTATTGTAGCAGGTAGTTCATTATACAAAGTGGTTTCAGGTAACTAGAACATTGTCTTTGATTTACAGAGATTATTATAAATCAGTAACCTCTAGTAATTAGTGCTTACAAAGAATTGATTGCTTAAATTAGGGTCTTTTATTTAACTAAAAAAAACAAAGTTTATTTAACTTTTAAAAAAGCATTAAAGATAATAATATTTTTAAAATTATTATTAAGTTCATTATTGATTATCATATTAAAGTACCTAACATGACCATGAACTCATGTTAATAACTATTTGGTATACATAGAGCAGATAAAGAAAACTTAATAACAAGACATATAGCTTCATAAAATTTCATAAACAGCAACTTTTACTGTATTAGTTTTCTGAGAATTCTTTTTTACTTATACTTGTAAAATCTATGAATGCCATGTTATTTGAATTAGTGTAACTTGCCTAATATTATATGAGAAATAAAAATTTTACTTATTATGGAGTTGTACATAATAAAAAGGAGCATATGAGAAAGATCTCATTTCTGTCATTTGCAGAGGTAACTTAGGTTGCCAAGTAAAATTTACATTGATTTAAAAAAAAACGAAGTTCATCATTAAAAAATGATTTGCTCTGTTTTTAAACTGTTCTTACTACCTAAACCTCTGTACGTGGAATCAGTTTTATCTTGACCAAATCCCAAGAATAGATGACTTGCTTCTTTTTACTAACCTTGGTATTTTTTGAAATAAAAATTTTCCTTAAAACTGTGCCTTTATTAAAACAAAATTAAGATTATAGTACTGAGAAAGAGATAAATGTATATATATCTATATAATATACTAATAATATATATAGTGAAATGGATTATTTGAAGATGTCTTTTTTAAGGAAGATTTAAAAAAGTAGCTATTTTACTTAGAATATAAAATATCCTAAGTAAGTTGAAGAGTAAAAGAAGCACATTATAAAAAGAAAAAGTATATGTGTGTATTCCCAAGCTTCTAACTATAAAATGGGATTCTTGTCACTTTATAGGGAATCTTTGAAGTTTTAAAAACTCCTGATTTGTGATTTTCCTTGATAAAATGGTTTAATGAAATTTGTGAATAATCCTCATGTTTACTATCTTAGATAATTATCTAGGGCGTCTTCCTCATCAGTTCTTTTATTATATTCTTGTATCAGTTAGGCACTGCGTTGGGACAATCTCAAAAATAGTGATCTAAATTAGGGATTATTTTCTCACATGACAGGAAGTGTGGAGTTAAGCCATTTGTATATGATATGGGTTTCAAATACCCAATCGTGTCACTTATATGACACTATATGGAATTGTGGAATATAGGGAAATAAAACAAATGGTCAGACAAAACCAAATCAATGACAGATGCTTTACATGTAACTGCAAAACTGAGGCAACAGAAGGGAAGGGGGCAGGGTAGAAATTGGGGATGGAGGAGGTCCCATGGAACATGATAGAGGATTATTGGGGCATTGGTAGGGGCGTGGTGTGAAAACCCCTCAGCAGAAACAATGATATAAACCAGCTTTATCTCAATAAACATACTTGGAAAAAAAAATAAAACAAACAGAAAACCCCAACAAGGGTTTCAGAGCACAAGACTCCCTTATCTTTCTACTTAGCCAAGTTAATGTACACTTGTAAATGGATAGTTCAGTAAGCTGCTGCTCTATCATTACCTTAGCTTTTGAATATGAAACCAACTCTAAATCTCTTCAAGGGAGGTCTGTAGTACAATTCTTTTTAGTTGACCTCATTGCTTCCCTAAAACCAACTGAACTTCATGTAATAAGTAGAAAATAAATACTTGGTAGGTAATTAATGATACTTACCACAGTATCTAAATAAAAACCAAATAGGTGATTTCAGTATTTACTTTTCTTCTGATTCTTATGAGAGCTATTGAAGAATCATAGAAAGGAATAACATTTTAATCAGTTCTTTGAAACAAGACTTTCTAATCTTTCAAATAAGTCCTTTAAAAAAAACAAAATAAAGGCATGTTACACCATTTATGAATCTCTCTTTTGCACATAGTGGTGGTAAAAACTGTTAATGCATATTCAGTGAATTCTACTTCTCATTATCTGTCATGGAGAAATGTTGCATATGTATAAGATGTAGTTAAGAATGTTCATTTGGGTGGCCTCCCTGGTGGCACAAAGGGCTGGGTTGTGGCACTATGAACTAGCCACAGCCACTGCAGCATGAGTTCGATGCCCAGCCAGGGAGCTAGCCCACGTGGCACAGCAGACCTCTCCTGTCTCACCGCTGCCCTTCTCAGCAGTGTATTTCACTCAATCTGCCTGTTCTGTTCCCCACTCTATGTCTGGTGAATCCTTTCACCACTCCTCTCCACCCCCGTACCTCTAGCCTGTACCCCAGTTCTTGTATACATAAATAAATAAATCTTTAAAAAAAAGAAAAGAATGTTCATTTGACTTTATTTGTACTAGCAAAAATCGAACTGACCTGAATGACCATCAATAAGGAAAACTGGCTTGATAAACTGTTATTTTCGTATTAAAGAATAATAATGCAATTCCTTCAGGGAATTTATGTGTAATGGTATTAGCTCTATAAGACATTGTGAAGTGAAGAACAGTGTCTCCAATATGGAATCACTTTTTTTTCCTCAAAAAGCCACTATGTAAAATAACTACAGCAAAGGAATTTGTAATGAAAATCAATATTTGAACTAGTGATATGGTTTTAAAATTCTATTATTAATGTTGTTTAGGGTTCTCGGTGCTCTTCTGATGCCAGTATGCTTGGAGAGATGATGTTTGGTTCAGTAGCGATGAGCTACAAAGGATCCACTTTAAAAATTCATCAGATCCGGTAGGGAATTTTCTGATTTTTCTTAATGAAGTCATTTTTAGAATAGGTAATTTTTTAAAGATGAGAGAATTCATATAGTTATCATTCTAGTTGTGCATGTCATATACTCTGTAAAGGATTTAATGCTACTTCATGGATGTTGTAACTATGCTGTGAAATTTCTGTGACTTAACACATTTTTATATATAATAAGCCAAAAAGTTAATTGTGTTTGAGTTTTCATCTTCCTCTCTTTCTCTTCATAGCTCCCCTCCACAGCTTATGCTCAGCAAAGTTTTTACTGCTCGGACTGGCAGCAGTATTTGTGGAAGTCTCAATACGTAAGTGATTATGGATCCAGAGAGAAATGAATTATTTAAGATGTTCAAAATATGAAAAATAATATATTTCTCTTGGGATTACAGCATAAATTCATATTCTGGTCCTTAAATTTGAAAGTTCATGGAACCCAGATTCCCCCCTGTCCTCAGCTTTATTGGTATATAATTGGCATAAAATATATGTAAGTTTGAGGTGCACAGTGTGTTGATTTGATACATTTACATTTATATATATTACAAAGTAGTTAGCATAGCTAACACCTCCACCCTATCATATAATTGCCATTTCTTTTTTGTGATGAAACATTTATGATCTGTTATAGCAGTTGTAAATATAAATATATAATACACTATTATTAGCTATGATCAGTGTGCTGTATATAAGATTCCCAGAACCTGTTAAATTTATCAGTGGAAGTTTATACCTTTGACTATTGTCTCCCGATTTCCCCCACTTGCAGCCTACTAGCTCTCCGTTTCTCTGAGTTTGACTTTTTTATATTCCACATATACATATATGCGTGATATATGGGTTTGTGTGTGTGTGCATGCACTATCTTTTTTATCAATTTGTTATTGGCAGATAGATTGTCTCTGTATTTTAACTGTTGTCAGCTATACTGCAGTATACATTAGAGTGAGCATGTCTGTGAGGTCCTCATTTCAGTTGTTTTGGATATATATACCCATGAATATCATTGCAAGATAATACGTTATTCCTATTTTTAATTATTTGAGGCACTGCCACACTGTTCAATAATATATCAATTTACATTTTCACCAGTAGTGCACAAGTGTTCCCCTTTCTCCACACCCTTGACAACTCTTGATAGCTCTTATATTTTGTTGACAGCCATTCTAACAGATGTGAGGTGGTATCTCATTATACCTTGATTTACTTTTCACTAATGATTGGTGATGTTGATTAGCCATTTTCATGTCTTCTTGGGGAAAATGTCTCTTCAATTCTTCTGAACATTTAGAGAAACTTTTATTGGGGATTTGTTTTTTTGCTTTTCTATTTGAGTTCCTTATAGATTTTGGATATTACTGCTTATTAGACATGGGATTTGGAAATATTTTTTCCCATTTGGCAGGGTGTTTTTAATTTTGTTGATGGTTTATGTTGCTGTGCAGAAACTTTTAAGATTGATGTAGTTCCACTTATTTATGTTTTTGTTGTTTGTGTTTTGGTGTTGTAGCTAGGAAGTTGCTGTTAAGAACAACACCAAGGAGTTTTTTCCCTGTGATGACTTCTAGGAATTTTATGGTCCCAGGTCTTATGTTTCAGCTTTTAATCCATTTTGAGTTCATTCTTGTGAGTGGTGTAAGATAAGTCTCCAGCTTGATTCTTCTGCATCTGTTTATCTAATTTTCCCAACACCATTTATTGAAGAGACTATTCTTTCCCAATGGAGTATTCTTGGTTCCCTTATCAAGTATTGGTTGACTATATCTACGGTGGGTTATTTGGGGGCTCTTGATTTTGTTATATTGGTCTATATGTCTATTTTTTTTAATGTCAGTATCATACTCTTTATGCCAGTTGAAGTCAGGGTGTGTATATGGCTTTTTTTCTTTTTTCTCCCTTTGGTGTCTTTTGTGGTTCCATACAAATTTCAGGATTGTTTTTTCTGTTTCTGAGAAAAATGCTTTGGAATTTTGATAGGGATCGTATTGAATTTATATATAACTTTGGGTAGCATGGGCGTTTTAAAAATATTCATTCTTACGGTTTATAAACACAGGGTATCTTTCTGTTTTCAATTTTTTTTTCATTGAAACTTACAGTTTTCAGTGTGTAAAAGTCTTTCAACTCCTTGATTAAATTTGTTCCCAAGTATTTTTTTTATTTTGGTGCTATTATGAATGAAGTTTTTTCTTAATTTCTTTTTTGGATGTTTAGTATTAGTGTATGGAAACACAACTATTTTCTGTATGTAGACTTTGTGTCCTGCAACTTTACTAATTCAATGATTAGTTACAGTAGTTTTTTTGTGGAGTCTTTAGGGTTTTCTCTATATCAGAGTGTATCAGCTATAGACATAAGCAATTTTACTTCCTCCTTCCCTATTTAGATGCCTTTTATTTCTTTTTCTTGCCTGATTGCTCTGGCTGGTACTTGAGTGCTAGCATCTTTGTCTTGTTTCTGATCTTAAAGGAAGAGCTTTGAACCTTTTGCTGTTGTGTATGAAACTGGCTGTGGGTTTGTTAATTACGTGACCTTTTCCTGTTGAGTTATGTTTCTATGATACCCACTTTTTAAAGGGTTTTTGTCATAAAAAGTTGTGTTATGTCAAGTGCTTTTTCACTATCCGTTGAGATAATCATGATTTTCATCTTTATTAAGATGATGTATACCATTTATTGATCTGCATGTGTTGAACCCTCCTTGCATTCTAGGCTTGGATCCCACATGATTCAATGTGTGTCTTTTAATATGCTGTTGAAGAAAGTTTGCTAATATTTTGTTGAGAATTTTTACATTTACAGTCATCAGGGATGTTGGCCAGTACTTTTCTTATATATCCTTATCTGACCTTGGTGTCAGGGCACTGCAGGCCTTCTAAAGGAGGCTAGGAGTAGCCCCTCCTCAAGATTTTAAAGCATTTGAGAAGTATTTGTGTTAATTATTTTTTAAATGTTTGGTAGAATTCACCATCTGGTCTTTTCTGTATTGGGAGATTTTTGATTATTTTTTCAATTCAATTGGTCCACTCAGATTTTCTATTTCTTTTTCAATTACTATTATTATTATTGACATTGTTATTTTATTGAGGTAAAATCTTGGTAAAATGTATGTTTCTAGGAATTTATGTTTCCTTTAGATTATACAGTTTGTTGGTGTATTATTGTTCATAGTAGCCTGTCATGATCCTTTTTATTTCTGTGGTATCAGTTGCAATGTCTCATCATTCAGTTCTCATTTCATTTATTATTCTCCTTTTTTTCTGAGTTAGTTTAAGTTAGTCTGGGTTTGTCAATTTTATCTTTTCAGAGAGTCATTTTTATTTTCATTCATCTTTTCTGTTATTTTTCTTGTCTCTTCAAATTTTTTTCTTTTTGATCTTATTTTCTTTAGGTTTAGGTTTAGTTCTTCTTTTTCTAGTTCCCAGGGTATAAATGAGGTTGTTTGAGCTCTTTCTTGCTTTTTATTTTAGGCATTCATTGCTATAAACTCCTTATTGGAACCTCTTTGCAGCATCCCATATGTTTTGATGCTTTCGTTTTCATTTGTTTCAAGATATTTCTTGAGTTCCCTTTTGATTTCTTCTTTCTTTGACTCATTGATTATTTACAGACATGTTTCATCTGTACATATTTGGATTTTCTAACTTTTCCTCCTGTTGTGATTTCTAGCTTAACACAATTGTCATCAGAAAGAATTATGATTTCAGTCTTTAAATTTGCTAAGACATATTTTGTGATCTATCTTGTGATCTGGCCTGGAGAATGTAAAGGTGCACTTGCGAAGAGTATGCATTTTGTTGATGTTGGATGGAATGTTCTCTCTATTCTGTTAGTTCCTTAATGACTTGTCCTCCTTATCATTATATGACTTATTGTCTCTTGTTACCATTTTTGATTTAAAGTCTGTTTTGTGCAACATAGGTATAGTTGTCTCGGCTCTCTTTTTGTTTCCACTTGTATGGAATATCTTTTTTTAATCCCTTCATTTTGAGTTTATGTGTGTCTTTAAAATCTGAGTATATCTCTTATAGACAAGCAAGTTGTTGGGTCTTGTTTTTTTATCCATCCTATCACTGTGCGTTGGGACTAGATTATGTCCTCATTTTTGAATGAAGTTCAAGAACAGGAATTCTGGTTTCCCTTTCTCTTATTTTCTAGAAGCTATATCTGGAAGTAAAATCTTGAATGCTCATTTTCCAATTTACATTCCTATGATAAGTTAGCATCTACAGGTTGTACACTTGAGTTTTCAAATACCCTGCAGAATTGGCCCTAGGTTAGTCTTAGTGGGGCACAAAGGTATTGTAAGTAGTTAGTGCCATGGTTGGTATGTCAAAGCTGAAACAAGGGTGGGCCTGATGTCAAGATTATGAATTTCATGCTAGAACCTGAGAAATGAAGGATTGAAACTTAGGTGCAGTGGTAATAGAATCCAGAGATGGATTCTGCAAGTGCCGAGTCAGATTTCTGAATAGGGAGAATAGATGAAGGGACTCAAAGTCAAAAGCATCATCATGAAGCAGCAGGAGATTGCGCGAAACTGGAGAAAAATCACAAGAGCCTTCGTTAATTTTAAATTCTCTAAAAAGATGTTTAAGGGGTTTTATTAGCTAAGATTATAATAACTAATTTTTTTTTTAACTTTTAGGAAAGAGTCAGAGATATTTTTTAAATATCATGGACACTTACAAAATTTGATGTCAAAAGTGCTTATTTTTAAGCGTAGTATAATACTCTTAAAATAGAAATTATTTATTCTACATTGGAATTAATGATTTTTACGATAATTCCATCAACTTCTTCATATTTTTTAATTTGTAATTGGTAGTCCTTAAATTTTCAGAATGTTTACTTTGTACTAAAGGCATAAATACTTTTGTTACTCTGAGTAATTTGCTAAAAGAAATTATATAGACCATTTGTAGTATGTGGACTAAAGATACTTCTTAGATACTTTATTTAATCTTACTCTTCTGTCTTCCAAAAGTTTGAAAGTCTTTTTATATTCAAAATATTATTGTGAGTGCTTTATTACTTATTTATTTGTTTGTTTGTTTATTTATTTATTTTGAAGATTTATTTATTTTATTTATTTATACAAGCACTGGGTACAATCAGAAGCGCGGGAGGGTGAGAGAATTCACCAGAGCCAGAGCGGGGAGCAGAGCAGGCAGAAGGACCGAAGTACACTGCTGAGGGGAGCAGCGGGCGGCAGGAGAGGTCTGCGCGCCATGCCGGGCCCTCCTCTGGTGGCCGGGGAGCAGCCGGGGATCGAGCCAGCTCTGCAGAGGCTGCGGGCAGCTTCGCAACCCAGCAACCCAGCGCTCAACCCCTGCGCCACCAGGGAGGCCCTGCTTTATAATTTAAATCAGGGTCAAAGACTTTCTCTATAAAAATCCAGGTAGCAAATATTGTTGGCTTTGTGAGCCAGACATTCTGCCATAGTTTTTCAATGCTTTCATTGTAGCATGAAATCAACCATACACAATACATAAATGAATGAAAAATTTTCCAGTAAATTTTATTTATAAAATTTTCCAGTAAAATTTTATTTATAAAAACAGAGAGGAAACTGAATTTAGCTCTCACATTGTAATTTTTGCCAATTTCTGACTTAAATGGTTATATCTATGAATAGGGAAATTGAAAACTTAAAGCATTGTATATACCAGGCTATATAAGGAATTGCCATCAGGAGCATAAAATGAATTTGGAATTTTTTTTTTCCTTCTCCCTCTTAGGCTGCAAGACAGTCTTGAATTTATCAATCAGGACAACAATACATTAAAGGCTGATAATAACACAATTATTAACGGACTACTTGGAAATATAGGTAAATGATTCCTTTGGTTTTATACATTTTAAAATGTTAGATATGTAGTAAGGATTTCCACATTTTTCTTAATAATATAGATCTAAGACCAAAGAGTTTTTTAGAATATTAGAAGTGGAGAAAACATTCAAATTGCATGTTTAACATTTGTATTATTTGAAAAACATAATCTTATATTTAAATATAACATTTATTTTTTATCTGGAAAAAGGAGAACTGGTGAAGATATATCTAATTTTTCTTAAACTTAGATATATCTTTGAAAGGCACTGTCATTGATATAAAATACCCTTGCTAGCTCTCTTGACTATTTCGGTTGAGGCACCTTATCTTTTCTCTCTTCCCTCACCATAAAAGTAACTTTTAAATAGTTCTCACTTTGATGACCAATAATTCAGATGAGCAGATATTCAAATTTGATGCTCTGTAAAGATTTATGAGAATAATAGCTTAGTAATTTCTTTAACTGATTATTGTTGTTATTAAAATTCAGCATTCGAAGTGAAAATCTTTCTAAAGTTTCTGGCCATTTGTTTTATCCTAGAAAGTTCAAGTAAGTTGCCAAGGCCCATATTTCTAGTGCACAAAGAATTGTAGTATCTCAGAAAGTGGATGGCAATTAAAGTAAATATTTTACTATTCATTAAATATTCATTAAAATGAATATTTCTCTTGTTCTCTGTTGAATGAGAATATTTTTAATTTATTTGAATAAATATGTATTAATTACATGTTTTAGTAGAAAATAGTTTTTCCCTTCTGACTTGAACTTTGTGTATGTGTGTGTGCGTGTTTTTTATCATGTTCAAATTAGGAAGCCACTCACCAAGCATCTACTGGGTGCCCATTGCAAAGTTAAGCATATACTTCAGAAAGAGTATTTATTTTATAGAAAAATAGAAATTCTTTTTTTAAAGAAAAAAACTAGATGAACTATTGCAGTGGTTTTAATTAAAGTAAATATGTGACAAGGAAATAACTGAATCTTTTTCAATCTTGTAAAGCTCCCAGGTCATATAAAAAGCTATGTGTTTTAACAATATTAAATCTGTTATCATTTGTAAAGATAATTTGCACCGTAGATACTAGGTTTATTCACATTTTCTGTTATAGAATAAGAATTTAATCCATTTTAAAAGTATAGATTTTAAATAATGAATAGTTTTAACTTCTGCATTGTTAATTGTGAATCAAGGCTATTTGAACACCATTTCTAATTTCCTTTAAATTTTCAATAACCGCAAATACATACTAAGCATACAGTATATGCCAACTAACATTGTTGTCAGTGAGGATAGAGAATTGTTGAGAAGTTCATTAAGGGAAATTGAGTGGACCGGACTTAGTAATTAGATAGAAGAGGTGAGAGTGAAGAATGAATCAAAGATGGCACTTTTCTATATGGTTGTGTAATTGCATGGATATTGGTGCCATTCACTGGCCGGAACAGAAGTAATTGGGAGTTGATTTTAGGTTTAGGCATGTTGGAAGTATTGATGGGATATCCAAGTAAAGATAACCATTATAGTTAGATAGGTTTTAATAAATGTTTTATAGATGTATTATGGTAGTAGTTGCTGCAACATCAAAACGAATGAATGTATGATAATTTACAAAACAACAGAATTTTTTTCTTACTGATGTAAAGTCCAAAAGGATATTCTTCATTGATGAGCAATTTTCCTCCAAGCAGTAGTTTAGAGGTTCACTCTACTTCTTTGCATTCTACCTCCAACATGTTCCCTCCAAGGTTGTATTTAACTGTTCCCAGCCAGTGGAAAGGGATTGAGTATGTTGAAGGTACATCCACTTAATAATCCACTTCAGCCTAAAAGTGATGTGCAGTATTTTTATTCATATCCCATTCGTGGCAACTAATCACATGGCTTCCCCTATCTGTTAGGGGATTTTAGAATTATTATCACTATCCGGATAGCTGCTTCCCAGGGACTACTTCTTTTAGATAAGAAAGAACACAATTGTCAGACAGTTGGCTGTTTCTAGCACGTATTTGAGATTATTAACATATAAAATAATCACTGCAAGCATGAGAATGAATGAGATGACCAAGGAAATGTAAAAAATGATAAGGAAATATTGTCCAGTGGTTTTTGCATCACATCTTAAGAATTAAGATAGAAGAAAATGTAGAAGAGTTTTAAGTGTGTTTAAATGCTGATAGAAAATGAGATTAAAAGGAGGATGAAGTTAGAGATAAAGGTGATTAATTGGTAGAGTGAGATTTTTAAAGATCCAAGCTGACTTAGAAGAATTAGTTTTGGAGGGGAGGGAGGGAGGGAGGAACCTCTCAAGATTTTTCACTCAAGTGAATCCTTTGCACACGCTTAAGTTGTTATACTATTACCTGTTATTACTACTCAGTCAGGAAGGAGGCATTCATGATTAAGAATTTGATTTAGTTTATAGGTAGGGTTGGTAGGAAAAGAAGAGTTCCCATCTGGTGAATTCTCTCTGTGTGTGCACATGTACATATGCATGTGTATCTGCATATAAAGTCATGTGCTTGAGCATAAGGGAGTAGCTAAGTTTTGAAGTAAATACTATGAAATAAAGAAAGCTAAACAATGAAACATGCAAGGATTGCTGCACAATGCACTGTAATTATAGAACTTCTTCTAGTAGAAAAATAGCTATTTATTTGAAAAATAAAACCATCACTTTTAAAAACCTTCAGTTCCCGATTTTATCCTTGATCATTTTTGTAGATAGGTAGGTAGACCATTTTAATTAAGTATAACAAAAAGGTAACTTAGCCACTAGTTTCCAGGCTGTAAACGCTGCTCTTTTTCAGTCCTCAGATTGATGACTTTTCTTGGTTAGGCATGTGGCAGCCACTCTCAGCGAGGAGTGACATTCCTGCTTCCATAGTGGAAGCAGGCTGACCTCCCCTGGTCTGGGAGCTTTGATTTTTTTCCCCATTATTTTGTAACTAGTCACTAGATTTGTGATTTCTTTATTTCTATATTAATTTGTAAATAGATCCCTTTTCGCTGTTGCTCATGGTTGTATATTGTGTTCTATTTTCTCAATTAAATGCTTAGGTGGCTTTCTCTATCTTTACTGTAGGTGCAAAATACTGTAACCTTAAAACTGACAAATGGAAGATATATATGGCAAATGTCAATTTACATAGATAACATTACTGTGCTTTTTAAATCTTTTAATTTTTTTAGGTTTTGTTTTTTTGTTTTGTTTGTTTTGTTTTTGAGGCTAGATTGGTTTACATCATTGTATATGATTTAGAGGTATAGGATCACTCCCTTCCCATGTTGTTGCCACACCACACCCACAACCAAGATACCTGTAGTCCTCCACCAACATTGTTTTGTATTAGAAAAGATGGAATATTTAAAACAATTTTTACTGTGTATACTGGAGACTTATTATTACTAATACAGATTTATTAGTAAATAGACATGGAATTATTATGTTTAACATAAGCTGTGACTGAAAGGAAGCTGATTTCCAAAAACAGGAAGCCGGCTTGAATTACTCTTAATTAGTTTAAAAGTTTCCATCTACATCTGTTGGTCTGCTTTTGTGCTGCCTTATCTCGCCTTTTATTCCTTACGCATTGTGGCTTTTCTAACAGCCCTCTTTCATGTGTATTTTACGTTTTTGCCATGTAGGTCTTTCACAGTTCTGCAGCCCCAGGCGGGCGTTCTCTGAACAGGGTCCGCTCCGCCTGATCAGGAGCGCCTCTTTCTTTGCAGGTTTGCCATGTGCTGTGTGGGTAGACTAGTTGGTGTGCCCCAGTGGCTAGAGTCTGTAGTTAAGCTGTGGAAACAAGAGAGTATATAAATGCAGTTGGGGAGGGTGTGGTTAAGAAAATATTGCTTAGGAGGGGTATGAACTTGATTGCTTTCTACTGAGTGTGTTTTTAACGTTTCCAAAAATTGGGTTATCAGTGTAATTGACATTTTCATGAAGTTGCACTTTGTTCTTATATCACTGCGTTTAAGTTCAGAATTATAAGCCAAATTTTAATATGAACATCATTTCTTAAAATACCAGTTGAAATTTCTATTGTGATACTACCTTGTTTCCATGGCTGAATAGCTTTGTACCATAGTTCACCAATTGCAGAAAATATCCCATCTTATTGTAAAATTTCTGGTCTACACTATTTCATAAGGATGATTTCTCTTGGAGCTAAGATTTAGATGAACAAGCACCATCATAATAATCTGTGAAAGGCATATGCTTTTTTTTATTTCTTTAAATTGATGCTTGTAGAATATGTTCGTGCTTCTATGTCCAGAAGTTTTATCCGACTTCTTGTTTTAACTAATGTTTGTTTTCCTTACAAATAAGAGATATATGAACAATACATATTTGCTACAAGAAATTTAGAAAATTGGCAAAATATTAGTCATTTTGTCAGCTAGAAATCACATTTTTAAAAAACAAAATTGGAATCATACTATTCAGTTTCCTTACAATGTTTATTACAGAGAATTTTTAAATATATAGACAGGGTAGTAGAATGTACCATGAGATATACATGACTTAATACCATAATTTTTACTGTTCAGCGGCTTTCTTTTTTTTTTCATTTAATAATATATTGTGAATATTTTCTTATGTCATAGGCTTTATATATATATATTTTAGTCACCCCTTGCTTCTTTAGATTTTTATCATAGATTACTTTCATGTTAATATATCCAATCTTCAGATAGATCTCAAAGCTTGTTCAACTGAGTAATAGCTCTTGGTGTTGGGTTTGTGCCATGCTATTAAAAAAAATAAATGAATGCAATGAGATGAGCATGATTTAATTTGCTATTTAAAAGGAGCAACATCAACCTGAATAGTAGTATATTATGCAACTGACAGTATATCTTGATTCACAGTTCACAGCAACCCAATGGACATGCCTGGAAGAGAGCTGAATGAGGACAGAGACAGTGGCATAGCACGTTCTGGTAATGCCATGTTCATGTATTTAATCCAGTTTTTTATAAAATCACTGTTGGCTGACATCTTTATCTCTACCTTTATCATCTAATTTTTTGTGTAGTTTGTTAGAATTAATATTAGCTTTACAAGAGAATTATAGAAATAGCATTTAAAATTTAAAATTGTTCAAAAATTGGCAATGGTATAGCATGGCCTGGATGAATGCACACTGGGTTAGGCTTAGCCAGTACAGGAATAGAAGTATTGATCAAGAGACTTCTTAGATACCACAATAGAAAAAATAACACGTTTGCTTGTTTCTGCTTCTTTTAACTAGATTTTAAACTGTCAGATTGTCTCTAGCTCAGAGTTTAGGCATTTTTAAGGCGTTGTTATAAATAATTCTTTCAAATGTGGACTCTTCTAAAACTTGTCTAACAAACTTTGATTGAGACATGCTGAGATAGAAAACAACAAAAACAAAATAAAAAACACTGAAGCCCTGATACTGTACTTAGGGAGCACAGACTCTACAGAGAAAATCATGTCAGGAAAATCATGTCATAATTTATTGTGTGATGTATTCTGTGATAGAACTGTGTAAAGAGGTTCAGAGAAAGGGCACTTGATTTGATTGTGAAATTTAGTCCTTGGTAAAGGACAACTTGAATTGTGTCTTGAGAAATAAATAGTAGTTAGCCAGGCAAAGGCATGAAAATAGGGTATACCACTTTAAGAACAAGTGTTTGACAGGGCCCAGAGGTCAAATTAAGTGAAAGAAGAAATAATCTTAGGCTTGCATTACTGTTAGAAAGAAAGAAACTTGAGTGCCTCCCCAGTGGTGCAGCGGTTGGGCGCTGGACTGTGAAGCTGCCCGCAGCCTCTGCAGCACTGGTTCGATCCCCGGCCGCCAGTGAGGGTCCCACATGGCGTGCAGACCTCTCCTGCCGTGCCGGCTGCTCCCCTTAGCAGTGTACTTTGTGAGTCTGCCTGTTCTGCTCCCCGCTCTGGCTCTGGTGGATTCTCTCACCCTCCCACACTTCTGACTGTACTTAGTGCTTGTATAAATAAATAAATAAATCTTAAAAAAAAAGAAGGAAAGAAAGAAACTTGATTCATCATGGTCATCCATTATGTTGTCCTATGACTGTTATTTAATTGGTTTATGATTCAGTTTTGACATAGGTAGGAAATCTTAGAACCTGAAATTTACCATATATTATAATTCCCAAGGTATGCATTTGAATAGCAAGAAGCTTCCAAAAAAATTCTCATATATCTGAATTCTATTTTTTTTTTTTTTTTTCGGTGGGACCCTCGCCGGCTGCCGGGGAATGAACCGGTGCTGCAGAGGCTATGGGCAGCCTCACAACCCAGCGCTCAACCGCTGCGTCACCAGGGGAGGCCCTGAATTCTATTCTTAGAGAAAGGCTTAGAGATACATATTTGGGAAGAAAATGAAAAACTCATCACTTTGTTTTGATAGACAGCTAGAGTTGAGAACCTCTGCTCTAATACACAAAAGTTGCATCTTTCAAATAATCTTACCCTTCTTTTCTAATTGAATTTTACATTCTCGTTAGGAATTTACATTTCCTTTATGTGTAATAGAGCTTTAGTTTTCTCTTCTGTGACAGGAATTTAATTCTCATTATTTTATCCAGGATTTCAGAAGTGATAAATTAATGTTTCTACACTTCATTTTCTTCATCTGTAAATTGAAAGACCTGGCTAGTTTGACTTTTCACATATGCCATTTAAGTAAATTGTGTTTTTTCTTACAGGGGTATTCTAAATACCAGAATTTAGTAAAGCATAACATTTGAATTTTCTCTGAAGCCATACCCCAATTAGTTCTGCATACCCAATCTTATACTACAGTTTTATAATACTAATTATTAAATGTGGTCTTTTCAAGAAAATAGGTCACAATTTATTGTTAGTTTACCACTGAATTTGTCATAGAGAATTTCTCTGGTTTTCAGACTTATTGTCAAGTATAATATATAACCTGGCATGTACCTCTTTATAGATGTTAATAATATTTCTCTGTTTTAATTACTTGACAAATATTCAGTACGTGGTTAAAGAATGAAGATGGTAATTAAAATATTGCCAAGTAAAACAACAAGTTCTTAATGTGTTCCTCTCTACATCCAGTAGGGAGAAGGAGAGGATCCTTAGTTCAAGAGAAAAAAAAAAGATTGTAGCTTTGAAATCCCAGGCAAGGACAGAACTTTTGGATTCCAGAGGAGGACTTTAGGGAGAGAATAATCCCTATAGTTTGGAGACTGTAGCAGTTATAATTGGAGTAGACGCTACTGGTGTGTGTCTGTTACCCCTGAGAATCTTCAGAGAGCAGTCTGCAGGATCTGCTCTTTCTTTGGAGTTTAGTGAGTATAGTCATGACTCTTAGAAAAATGGTCAAGCTTTCAGAGGCTTAATGCCTTGGCACAGGTGGTTCATGAGTACTTTTAAAAGACATTTTTTTGTTGTTTCTGAAAAAAAAAAAAAATGTTCATTGAGTTTCTATGACTGCATCATTATGACAGGTGTTTCACATACATTATCTTAGTTGTTTTTTAATTAGTACCCTTTGTAGATGGAAATTGTTTGCCCTATTTTATAAATGAAGAATGTTTCGAGAAAAAATTAACCATGTTTCTTAAAGTCATAGAACTAGTAAATAGTAAAGTAGTAAATGATATCTTTAGATGGCACTCAAACACTTAAGTTCAACTTGAATTGCTTCAGATTTTTCATGTAAGATCTAAGGGTTCTGCTAAAGCAGAGAGTAGTCTGGTGGCCATAAGGTGGCAATACCTTGTTTCAAAGTAGCATTTTCTTCTGAAGGTGGGGGTAAGGATTTCAAAAGGGGTTTGTCTCAGAGTCTCTTACTAACACATTGTTATAATACATGATTTTTCTCCTTTGGGTACCTTGTTCCATCAGTGATGTATTTTCTTCATGGAAATTTTAGAGGCTTATGAAGCAAAATGGATAATTTGAGTTACCACTTCTTAAATTTGTTAAAAGGGAATTTATTCTTGTACTTTATTGTTATTGACTCATACAGTATGCTTTTTCTTATTCTGACTTGACAGCATCTCTCAGCAGCTTGCTTATTACTCCGTTTCCCTCTCCAAACTCCTCACTTACTCGAAGTTGTGCCAGCAGCTATCAGCGACGTTGGCGACGCAGCCAGACAACAAGTTTGGAGAATGGGGTGTTTCCTAGATGGTAAGTTATAACCTTTCAACTTATAATTTTGGAAGAATTTATGAGACTGATCGGTTCCTTAAACTCAATTTTGTATGTTTTTTTTTTCCCCCCCTGAGCCTGCCTTTGTATTTTGTGTATTTAAGTCTGGAAATGAAAACTTTTAAATATATTGCTTTTATTTTTATTATGGTAAGTTATGCATAATGTAAAATTTACCATGTTTAACTACAGTTTAGTGGCATTAGCTATATCTTGCATTTCTGTGCAACCATCATCACCATTCATGTCCAGAACATTTTTCTCTCTCCAAATATAAGATTACATGCTTTACCTGTTAAACAATCACTCCCAAAGCCTCCTTCCCCATTACTACTGATACCCACTGTTCTATTTTCTGTCTTTTTGAATTTAACTTTAGATGTATCAGTGAAATCTCGCAATATTCGTCCTTTTGTATGTGGCTTATTTTACTTGGCAAAATTTATGTCTTCAAGGTTCATCCATGGTATAGCATGTATCTGAATGTCATTCTTTTTACGATTGACATTCCGTGTGTGTGTGTGTGTGTGTGTGTGTGTGTGTGTGTTGTCTCATTTTTTATCCATTCATCTGTCTATGAACATTTGGGGTGCTTATACCTTTTGGCTGTTGTCAATAATGCTGATATGAACATGGGTATACAAATACATTCAAGTTCCTGCTTTCAGTTCTCTTAGTTACATACCTGGAGGTAAAATTGTTGACTCATATGAGAGTTCTCATTTTAATTTTTTGATGAATCTTACATTTTCCCAGAATAGCTGCACCATTTGACATTCCCACCAGAAATGCTTCACAACATTACTAATCTTTCCATGTCCTTAAGAATAGTTATTTTCTATTTTTTCTATATTTTTGGTCATCTTAATAGGCAGGAAGTGGCGTCTCATTAGTATTTTGATTTGCGTTTTCCTAATGACTATGGAGGTCGAGCCCAGTATCATGAATACCTTGTGGATGCCATCATGCTGGGGTTTTTTTGATTTTGGGAGTCCTGCAGTTTTAGCTTTTCGATCTTTGATTCATATACTGCATGTTTTGATATTTCAGCTTTTCATGTTTCTCTTTTGGCAAATTCATTCTTGAAAGATCTGTTTTTAATCTATGTTAAGTACAGTTACAAATAATGAATATTCTTATTTCTTCCTTTGCTCATTCCCTGTAATTCATCTTTGATTTTGCTGTCGCAATCAGAAAGGAGACACATACAGATCCTAGAACAATGAAGAGATTTTATCAGATTCATCTATAAATCTTAAAACTCAGTCACTGTTAAGTTCGTTATGAATTGAAAACTATCTGCTTTTTTAGTGACTTCTGACTAAACAAAAAACTTACCATACTTCCTATTAAAATTTCTTATGAAAATGTGAGCATAAAGGAATAGCCAGTAGATTTCACAAAGAACTTTTTTATAAAATAGTAAAAAACCTTTGGTTTGCCTACATTGAAAAAGCAAGAAGAATGAATTGCAAATTTAACTATTTTTATTTATTTCTTAAATTTAAAAAAAAAACATTTATTTTTAAGGTCTATAGAAGAAAGCTTTAATCTGTCAGATGAAAGCTGTGGCCCTAACCCAGGAATTGTGAGGAAAAAGAAGATTGCAATTGGGGTAATCTTTTCATTATCCAAAGATGAAGATGAAAATAACAAATTTAATGAATTCTTTTTTTCACATTTTCCTCTCTTTGAAAGTCACATGAACAAATTAAAGAGTGCAATAGAACAGGTAAGCATAGTTATGTTGTTTATCGCCTTTGTAAATTTCCTTTGAATCTTATTTTACTGATTTAAGCACTATGTTAATTGGGCAGAAAATTTTGGAGGCATTTGAACCCTGCAAAGTATTCTGGAAGATTCAAATAGACTTCGACTCTTTTTAAGGTGCTTACTGTCTAATAAAATATCATAAATAAATAAAAAGGTCATTCATCTGATCTTTCAGTAAATAAATATTTGAGGGCCTATAATGTGGCAAGGCACTATTCTTTCAACTGAAGGTAAGATGTGAAAAAGCAACACTCCTAACCTGATGAGACAGCAAACAAATAAATGAATACATAAGATTTTAGATGGTATTTAGTGCTGTGGAGATAAAATACACAAAAGATTTGTAATGAACATTGACTGGAAGGATTGCTAATTTTTATTTTATTTTTATTTTTTTATTTTTTAAAGATTTTGCTGTCTGATCTCTTTAACCTTTTTTTAAAAAAAGATTTATTTATTTATTTATACAAGCACTGGGTACAGTCAGAAGCGCGGGAGGGTGAGAGAATTCACCAGAGCCAGAGCGGGGAGCAGAGCAGGCAGAAGGACCGAAGTACACTGCTGAGGGGAGCAGCGGGAAGTACACTGCTGAGGGGAGCAGCGGGCTGCAGGAAAGGTCAGCGCGCCATGCGGGGCACTCCTCTGGTGGTAGGGGAGCAACTGGGGATTGAACCGGTGCTGCAGAGGCTGCGGGCAGCTTCACAACCCAGCGCTCAAGCGCTGCGCCACCGGGGAGGCCCAGGATTGCTAACTTTTATAAGCTAGTCAGGAAGCCCCTTGACAAAATGACATTTGGTCCAGAGATGTAGAGGAAGTGAACTACAGCTTTCAGGGAGAAGAATATTCTAGGTAGTGGCAAAGGTTCTATGGGATAATTAAACCTTATGCATGAGCAACAATAACAAGGCGAAAGTGACTGGATTAGAAGTGAAACCAGATCATGTATGGCATCATAGGAAACTACTGTAAGAGCTTTGGCATTTGCTCTAAGAAAGATGGGAAACTAGAGAGGGTTTTGAGTGGAATAGTGACATTATTTATAAGGATCACTCTTAAATGATGGTAGAGAATAGATTTCTAGGAAAAAAGGTGGAAGTTGTAGGGCCAGTTAGGAGACTGTTGCAGTAATCCAGATGAGAAATTGTGGATAATCAAACCAATTTAGTGATGGTGAGAAGTGCTTTGAATTCTGGATGTATATTGAAAATAAAGTTAACGAGATTAGCTGATGGACTGAATTGGGGTGCTTATATGAGAAATAGAACATTTGAGGTTGACTCAAGATTTTTCATTTCAGCAGTAAGAATGATACAGTCACAGTACTAAAATGAGAAAGACTTTAGTGGAGCAGCTTTGGTGGAGGAGGAATGGAAGTTTGCTTGATGCCTCTTGGACATCCAAGTATTTTATATGAGTCTGGAGTTTAGGGGGAAGGTCCAAGATAGACAGCTAACAGTGTAGTAATGGTATTTAAAACCATGAAACTAATTGAGGGAGAGAAGAAAGGTGAGGAGATCCTAAACCTGAATTGTGAAGCATTTCATTACTTAAAATCTGAGGAGCCAAAAAGGAAGGAATCAGCAAAAACTGAGAATCGACCACTCACTCCAGTAAGAGAAAAAACGAGAGGGAGGGCCTCCCCGGTGGCGCAGCGGTTGAGTGCTGGGTTGCGAAGCTGCCTGCGGCCTCTGCGGCACCAGTTCGATCCCCGGCTGCTCCCCGGACACCAGAGGAGGGTCCCACATGGCGCGCGGACCTCTCCTACTGCCCGCTGCTCCCCTCAGCAGTGTACTTCGGTCCTTCTGCCTGCTCTGCTCCCCGCTCTGGCTCTGGTGAATTCTCTCACCCTCCCGTGCTTCTGACTGTACCCAGTGCATGTATAAACAAACAAACAAACAAACAAACAAACAAATAAATAAATAAAACATGCCTCTATTTAAAAAAAAAAAAAAAAAACCAAGAGGGAGCCAGGTGAAAAAAAGTATTTCATGAAGGTAGGAGTGAGCAGTTGTGTCCAGTCCTGCATAACTTAACATAAATTAACAAAATTATGAATATGAGATAGAGCTTAAAGATAACTAAAAGTAAAGAACAAGCAAGGTTTTTTAAGAGACTCATGCTCTACTGACTTAGCTAGCTGGGTGCTTAGGAGTTCATAGGAAGGACAAATGACTTCCTATTGGAAAGACATTTCTGCATCTTAAAGGATGTGTAGGATTTTTTAAACTTAACACTGGAAATTGGATATAGCAGGATATCAAGAAAAATTGATATCCTTGCCACACAAAGATAATTCATTGACGTTTGCAGTCTTATCATACCTTTTCTGTATTGTACTTTTACTTGATTGAGATTGTGCTGCAAGCACATTGTTTTAATTTCATGCCAGTTCTTAAAAACTCATCATTGTATCACATGCATTTCTCATGTCATTGTAAATGGTTTTAAATATGTTTTGTTGTTCAGCTTAAGTAACAATTTTTCTATTAGGCCATTTCGACTTTTTCACAACTTTAACTATACTTTAGTTAACATCTTGGTGAATTTTCCATTATTTTTTAGAAGAGATTCCCAGAAGCTAATGAATCAATGGTTATTACTGAAATTAATTCCTGTGACAATGTGCAGAAGGAATAGGGTCCAAAAGGGAATAGTTAGTGGTATGGCTGAGAGAATTAATGGGTTCCAGATCACAAAGAATCTGGAATGTTTGCCAGCAGTTTTGACTTTGCTTTAGGAAAATTAAGTTGTCAAAATGTTTAGAAGAGATTGAAATAAGAGACTGGAGATGGGAAGATCAATTCTAATGGTCTAGAAACAGAGGATACATTTTTTAAGGATGCATCTTAGTCACCTCAGAGGTGACTGAGGATTATCTGCTTGTAGAGAAGACACTAATATTAGTTATTTACATTGAATCTGTCAAAAGACAGATGACTGGCAATACTTTTTATTAAACAAATGATTAAAAATCATTTCCACTTAATTTTTCAGTAGTTGGACACTGCTGACATTTTCATCAGTTGACTTTTGTTCCTTTTTGTTGTCAATTATTAGTGAAGTCAGTACACTGGCTGAACTGAGATCTGGAGTTACTAGGAAAAGTGTTTCAAGCTTTTGATGTTTAAAACTAGAAACATTCGTTAATGATTGCTTTTTATTGTTTTAATGCTTTGGACATTTTGTAACCTAAAGTATACATTGCAGTGCTTACAGTTGTCTGGATAATTGTTCAAATTTAACATCTCATTTCTTTTTAAAGGTGAAAGATAAAGCTTGAATGAATAAATACTTTATATAAATGAATGAGACTTAATTTTAAAAGTTCTATAGTTGTCAATTAATGATAATAGTAATCATTGAACCATCCAAAGAAGTTATCTTCTATAACCAATTTTCAGACTATTGATTTTTTTTTTCAAGTGAAAAGCTATGAATTTCTGGTAGCTGTCAATTATTTTGAACACCGTGCCACCTTTTGAGATTTTTGTTAATTAAATACGTTATTGCAGATAAAATTAATGGAGGATGCTGCTCAATTTTAGATAAGGAATATTCACTTTTTTATAAATGGGGAATCTGTCAACTGTTTTTAAAAACAGTAGGTTTCACTTTACAAATAATGAAGCTTTGTTTTTTATAAACACATTTTTTAATGTACCTTTTTTTTTAAGATTTTTATTTTATATAAGAGCTGGGGTACAGGCCAAAGGCGCAGGAGGGTGAGAGGATTCACCAGAGATAGAGTGGAGAGCAGAACAGGCAGACAGACCAAAGACACTACTTGAGGGGAGCAGTGGGCAAGGCAGCAGAGGGCTGCCATGCCATGTGGGTATCTCCCTGGCCAGCTGGGAATCGAACCCAAGCTGCAGAGGCTGCGGACAGCTTCACAGTGCTGCGCTCAACCCTATGTGTCACCGAGGAGGCCCAACTTTCAGTAATTTTTTTGTTTTAGATTTAGAGAAAGGTTTAGTTAACAGAGCCAGTATCTGTAAAATATTAGTGGAAACCATGAGGTATTGTTATTATCTTTGTGTTTTGTTTTGTTTGGGAAAAAAATAGTTTTATGTGACCAAGAAACAGTCAACATCAGTTTCTTTGTGTATTAACATTCTGTGGTTTGACATTTACAATAAGAGATTTAACATTTGAACATTCTGAATTTATTATAATCATTAATGAACAAAGTGCAAGAAAGAAAACCACTGTAAATATGTGCCTTTATTACATATTTCTAGGTAAGAGTGGTGGTAGAGTGTTTTGTGGAAATAATGTGACTTCTTGTCTTTCACTATTTTTGTCATATTTTTCCCATGATAGTTTAAGAATTAACTATCTGATTGCTTTCAAGGCTATGAAAATGAGCCGGAGGTCAGCTGATGCCAGTCAGAGGAGTTTGGCATATAATCGAATAGTTGATGCCCTAAATGAATTCAGGTACATATTCTTAAGTATTCCATAATACAGAATTGTTCACTGTTGTATGCTAGGTTTGTTTCTTTGCTGCAACTTATTCTAATAAGTTTTAATTTCAAAAGTTGTTTTTTTTTTTTTTTTCCATAGCCAAGTGAGGGTATAATTCAGTGGCCAATTGTTCCTATGTTATTAACTATCAAATACACATGGGTTTGAGCACATTTGGGAACTTACAGTGGTGTGTTTTTATTATATGGCCATTAGACAAGCATTGTCACCAGAAAAGTTATTTTGAGCTGACAGAAATGTGCTTTGTTTTTCTCTTGCACACCTAGATGTGTTTGTTGCCATTTAGTATACCTTGTAGTTTTTTTTTGAAAGCTGGGCATAATATATTAGGATACAGGAACTGAGTATAGTTCTTATGTAGTTATGTGAACTTAGTTAGAATTGAAGTCATTAGAGGGGGAGAAGAGGGATGAATGGTAACAAAGTGAGGAGTGGGCCCAAAGGTGTATGATAAAGGGAGATGGGTGCTCTGGGAGGATGGGGTGTGGTGATATACATCTGAGGTGTGAACCTGTTCCTCTGAATCATATATAGTAATGTAAACCAGTGTTACCCTAAATAAATTTATTAATTAAAAACAGACTCATAATACCACTTTGAATGTACAACATATTTGTTGCAGCTATTTCTAAACTTTGTTTTGGTTTAGATCTGTCAGTTCCTTTGTTTTATTTCTCTATATTCCACAAGAGTGAGACCAATGTTTAAATTCTAAAGCTAGGCCATTTATACTATCCAACACTGTAGGAATTAGGTCATAGGTATTTCATTCAAAATATTTTTAAATAAAAATGTTTATAACTTTAGAGCTATAAAATCATTAAAAATCTAGGTCATAATTGTTTGCTTTCCTTTTTGTATTAGTTTGATTATTTTACTTAAGTTAATGTGCAAATCGGAAAGGTTACATAGGTTAGTTAAACATTCTTATAATATATAAGAAATACTTTATAAACTCATCATTTTTTTATTAAGAGATCCGTCAGTGGAAGTACTTTAATATGTATAGTTGATCTTCATTATTTATAGTCTGTGTTTGTGAATTTACCTACTTGTTAAATTTATTTATAATCTCAAAATGCTTTTATAATCATTTGTGGACATGCATTGGTCAGGGAATACCTGAGTGGCCTGACACACACATACCTAGATGAGGTCAAATAAGGCAGTACTCTGCCTTCTTGTTTGAGTTCTCATTTTGTATCATGTCCAATTTGACATGTGTTTAGTGTCACTTTTTAATAGCATTTTTATGCTTTTCGTCAGTGATTCTCCTATTAAAAATGGCCACCAATCATAGTGCTCAAATGCTATCCAGTGTTCTTAAGTGCAAGGATATTGGGATGTGCCTTTCAGAGAAAATACATATTAAGTAAACTTTATTCAGGGATGAGTCATAGTGCTGTGGGCTGTGAATTCAGTGTTAATGAGTCAACAGTATATTAAGATATCTATAAACAGAAACCCACATAAAACAGGATTATGTAATTGATGGGATGATGAAAATGTTGTGACCAGAGGCTCTCAGGAACCTAGCCCAGTATTTCCACAGAAGCAGTGATTGGTGTTCACTAATTCACGTTTGTGTTGACTTTATGGAATATTGTTGCAAGTTCATGAGATTCTGTCATACTTAATTTTAAAATTAAGTAAATATTAAAATATTAAAAATTAGCAGTTAGATACTTTTTAAAGTTTGTGATTATTTGAGAATAAATAATTAATGAGTTTTAGGTAATCGAGAGGAAGAAGGAAGTGATTTGTATGTATGTGGAAGCCGTGAAACCAAGAAAAGCAGGAAGCATGTTTAGTTGGTTGCTGGCTGGCAACTTTGGGTTTTTATTTTGACATCATACATGTCAAAAAAGACTAAATCATATTTACAGGTATTTTACGGTTTCCTTCCTACTGAAGGAATCTTTCATTCTCCAAGGACAGACCAGGAAAAGTAAAGAGTCAGATGACTGAAAATACTTGTACTTCTTACAGTTGAAAGGTATAACATAATCATTGGGGAAAAGAAAACACCATTACTTCTAGATTGTCAATGACAATATAAAGTTGCACATAGTGAGAAGTACATTCTGAGGTCATAGTATACAGCATAAAAAAGCTAATGTGCTCAGTCATATGTGGTTCCCACATATTCTGGAGAGTAAAAAGTTTGAGAGATGGATTAGTTTTTTTAAGTCCCACCTTTGCAGGAATTACTTAGTCTAGTGAATATATATGACTTTGCTGGCATAAATTTGCTTCAGTGGATAGATAGGTAATATATAGATATTAATGTAAAAATAAAAGAATTACTATTTTAAAAGTATCTTTTGAACTCTTTGGAAGAGAGTAGAGTGCAACTCATAGGACTAGATATTGTCTATGTAAATGCAAAAGACACCAGAAAGCACTTTCATACTTGCGGACTAACCATCTCTTGTGTTGAGTCAAGAAAAACTTGAGGGCCTCCCTGGTGGCGCAGCGGTTGAGCGCTGGGTTGCGAAGCTGCCCGCAGCCTCTGCAGCGCCAGTTCAATCCCCGGCTGCTCCCCGGCCACTGGAGGAGGGTCCCACATGGCGTGCTGCCCGCTGCTCCCCTCAGCAGTGTACTTCGGTCCTTCTGCCTGCTCTGCTTCCCGCTCTGGCTCTGGTGGATTCTCACACCCTCTCGCGCTTCTGACTGTATCCAGTGCTTGTATAAATAAATAAATAAATCTTTAAAAAAAAAAAAAAGAAAGAAAAGAAAAACTTGAGACTATTGAGAGTCAAAAGATATAGCACGCTTGTATAGTGTCCTTACTGTTCTTTAGAACCTTAGTGAAGAGTATCAGCATAAGCAAAAAAAATGAAGCTGATAAACTATTGTTATGATTGGATATATGGATAAGCTATTACCTCATTTAGGATATTTTCTATGGTTTTATTTGTAATATATTGAAGTACATTTGGCATAAACCTTAGAAATATACCTGGAAGTGGCTTTAGAACTTAATATAGTCCTATATTTTAATTTTACATGTAGAGGAAACTGATACTTAACTAGGGAAATAACTTAGCTGAGTCACACAGTCATTGGGGTCAGAGCCAGTCCCACCACCAATATATTTGAGTTAACATACAGACCGTTTCTCATGGCACAAGACTGATAACAGGGGAGGAAAGACTCGATTCACTGTCTCCTCTAAAAAGAAGAGGTGGTACATATCCACAATGGAATGCCAATCACTATTAAAAAACAGAAAGAGGTGAATTCTTGTGATTGCATGGATGGAATTGGGGGTGGTTAGGCTAAGCCAATGGGAGAAAGAAAAATACTGAATGATTTCAATCATATGTGAAATATATAGAGAAACAAAGCAAAAGAATAGGCAAAACTAAACAAAAACAAAGCCTAGAAATATGACTGTGGAATTGAGGCTACCTGTGAGAGAGACTAGGGAGTGGGAACAATGTATAGAGAGGGGGCTTACTGTTGTATGATAAAAAGGGATATGGGTGCTTTGGTGGTGGATGGGGCGTGCTGAGGTACATCTGAGGAGATGTGAACCTTTTCCCTGAATCATATATAGTGCTATAAACCAGTGTTACCTCAATTACCGAAAAAAAGCTTTAGTAATCTAGGAATAAGGGTAAGGCTCTCAACATAAACTTTAAGTGTATATAATTCTTGAAACTATGAATTTCACAATATATTTTCCTCTTTTTAGAACAACAATTTGTAATCTTTATACAATGCCACGAATTGGAGAGCCTGTCTGGCTTACAATGATGTCTGGGACTCCAGAAAAGAACCAGCTTTGCCACCGTTTCATGAAGGAGTTCACTTTTCTAATGGAAAATGCTTCAAAAAATCAGTATGACCTACTCTGTCTGTCTATTTACCCTATGTTAGCTATATTTACTATAATTAGGTATCTTTGTTGTCATCAAACTCTGTTACAAGAGTCAAAGAATCAATCATTTTTTTTCTGGAATTATTTCATTTTACTCATAATCAAAACAATTCTAAAATAATTAAAAGATAGGTTGTGGAAGAAGAGCATAGTTCATCTGAATGCGAAACAGAAAACATTTTTTAAATTTCATGTTAAGTTAAAATTCCTGATGTGTTATAGAATTCTTTGAGGCTTCTCTTTTCCTGCAAACTGTATGTACTTATACTGTTTCATTCAGTAGAAAAGAAGTAAAACTCATATTTAAGAAAGCTGCAGAATTCCGATGATACATTTTTAATGTATTTTATCGTATTGCTTTCTTCTAAAACTTTTATTAAATTCCTAGAATTCTTATGAGTAATTTTTGTGTTTTTATTCTCTTTGATAATTTAACATTTACTCTCTATTATTTTCCTAATAAGTAATTTGGAGGTATATAGACCTGATAATTGATTCATTAATAAGCTGCAGATTAAATACTTTAAAAAATCCATAGTTTTTCAGATGAAATGGCATTTTCCTTTTGTAATTATCATCAGAAAATAGCTCCTGGTGAATGCTGTCTTTATGAATTTTCTTTAAACTCCTGTCTAAGTGAAGAATTTATTAATGTCCATTTTCATTGTGGTGCTATACCTATTTTTCCCTTTCCCTTTTTTATGCCATTTGGTCACATGAGAATATGTAATTTTTACTTTCTTCTGTTACTGCATTTTTGCCTAAAGTTTTATTGAAGGCAGGTTGGAATCTGATAGGATGTATTTTGTTTTCAGATTCTTGCCAGCACTTATTACTGCAGTTCTCACGAATCATCTTGCCTGGGTTCCAACAGTCATGCCAAATGGACAACCACCTATAAAAATCTTTTTAGAAAAACATTCCTCTCAGAGTGTGGACATGTTGGCAAAGACTCATCCGTATAATCCACTTTGGGCACAACTGGGTAGGTAGTCTGAAAACCCTCATTTTTTTGGCCGTTCACATGGACTGTCGAATTATTTTATAGCAAAAACAAAAAGAAAGAAAATGCTCTGTTTTATCACCTCCATTTTAAAAGATTATTTGTTCTTTTGTGTCTGCTAAATTGTCCTGTCCCAATCTTATGCCTCATACCATTCCTTGTATAGAACTACTACTGGAACAAGAAGAGTGGGATGATGACTGGCCTGTTAGCAACTTCAGGGTGTTTTGTGTTCGGTACTTTGCCTAGAAAGAATTCGCATTCACCTGTGATAGAATACATACAATTAAATGAGAAGTAGCCCTTGAGATTTCTGTTCTACCTTTGTTTGTTGAGGGGTTATGTAAAATATTTCCTTAGTGCTAGGCCTTAGTGAATAAATGGGTAACAGAGAACAGAGGGTGTTGTTGATGAGTTGACAGTCATTAGGAAGGCACTGTAATGTGAAGCTCCGAAAGCACGCTGTGGAGTCACAATTTTCTTATTTTATAAAGTGGGCATAATAATAGTACATACTTCACAAATTTATGAATAATAAATGAGACAATATATGTAAAGTGTTTACTCCTGGATAACACCTGGTAAATGTAGATGCTGTCTCTCCTGCTCTTACGCACTTGCTGTTCAGTGATAGGGAAGGAGGAGTGATTAAGATAAGCATAGTTTGGTAACTTGGTAGAGTACACAACCCTTAGGTTGTGCTAATGAGTGAGCTTGCCAGGCAGAATGTCATATGGCTTATCTATGTAACTTCCCCTTTTCTTCCAGTCTTCTGTCTTTCCTTCCTCTTTCCCCCCACTTTTATTTAATTACTAATCGGCATAAAACAAACACATATATAAAACATACACTTAGCTAAATTTTAATATTTATATCAAAGTATACATCTTTTTTAAAGATTTATTTATTTATGCATAGAAGAGCCGGGGTGTAGGCCAGAAGTGCAGGGTGGGGGTGAGAGGATTCATGAGAGACAGAGCAGGGAGGAGAATGGGTAGGTTTATTGAAATACACTGCTGAGGGGATCAGTGGGTAAGACAGGAGAGGTCTGCTGTGCCATATGTGGGTTAGCTCCCTGGCTGGGGATCCAACTCAGGCTGCAGTAGTGATAGTGTGGTAGTGCTGAGACTTAACCCCTATGCTACCAGGGAGGCCCCAAAGTATACATATCTTTGAAAACATCACCACAGTCAAGATGGTGAACGTATCCATCGTTTTCAAAGTTTCCTCATGCCCTTTTATAATCTGTCCCTCCTGCTCTCCTCACCGTACCTTTCACCTTCCCCTGTACCCAGACACCTATTCATCTATTTTCTGTCACTACAGGTTAGTTGACATGTTCTAGAGTTTGTATAATCATGGAGTACATGCTTCTTGTTTTTGCTTGACCCGTTTCATTCAGCATAACTTTTTTTGTAGTTCACCTATTTTGTATAAATAATTTACTCCCTTTAAATTCTGAGTAGTATTTCATTATATGAATATTATCATACATTTATTTAGATCAAGTAATTCAGTAGCATTTTTTATTTGAATATTTCAAGTCTATTTTCAGTTCTGCTGAGTGCATAACATCAGGTCTGTACAAAGAACATTGGAGGGTATAAAAATAAATAGTATCTATTCCCTTTCCCCAAGAAGTTGACAGGTTAATATTGTTGGTAACATATATATGGACAGTAATCATGATTTAAAGTGGAAGTATGAGAGAAACGAAATTTAGAGGGAGTTCAATAAAGGAAGCTTACTTTTACACAAGGGAGAATGCTTGGGTGGAAAACTTTGGACTAGCAGAGATAAGGAAAGGAAAGTGTATAGCATAAGTAAAGAGGTTAGTGTGTTAAAATCCTGAGAGTATTCAGTGGTCCAGTTTAGGCAGCCTACTTTTAAGTGGGACTTTGGGTGAATAAAGGTGAAAGAGTAACTATAAGAAGATAAACCTACTGTAAAGGTAAAGTCAGACCAGCCATGAAAGAGTCATTTGCCATGGTGAAGAAGTTTCAATTTATTTGATGATTAGTGGGAACTTTGGGAGTAATTTAACAATGGTATATTACTATTACAGGCAGTGGCTTAGCCAGAGGAGAAGAATTTGTCATAGTATTATCTATAGCATATATTTATTTGAAACTAATTTGTATTTGTCCCTTTAAAAGTGAGGTTGGGGGCCTCCCTGGTGGCACAGGGTTTAAGCATCAGCACTATGAAGCTATCCACAACTACTGCAGCACGAGTTCGCTCCCCGGCCAAGGAGCTACCCACATGGTGCAGCAGACCACTACTGTCTCGCCCGCTGCTCCCCTCAGTAGTGTATTTCAGTCAATCAGCCTGTTCTGTTCCCCACTCTGTCTCTGGTGAATCCTCTCACCTCGTCCTTCCCCTGCACCTCTGACCTGTACCCCAGTTCTTGTATGCATAAATAAATCAGTCTTAAAAAAAAATAAAAGTGGGGTTGGAGGGTAAGGTAAAAATAGAACTTTTAAAAATGTGTATATTGACAATATTGACAAGTTGCAAACATGGAATTAAATTTAAATTAGTGGCTTTATATTTTCCATTTTAGAGTGTGTTTGGCACTTGTTCATTGATTGGTTTAATTTGGGCTATAGCATAAACATAGAAATGGGATTGGTAACTCCTAGGTTCTCCTCTCCTCCCTTTTAATGGACATAAAAGTGAAAATGGACATAAGAGTGAAAATAGACATAAAAGTGAAAATGAATCATGGCTAGATGTGTTGCCTTTTCTTTTCCTCTTAGTCAGGATGGGCCTCATTATTCCTTCCCTTTATGGTCTACCTTGAGTACCAAGTCCTCTAGAAAATGGAAAGGAAAATGGATTTCTAAAATCATGGGCACTAGTGCGGGGCCCTGGGTAGCACAGCAACGGTTAAGGTTTAGGAATCTGATCAAGAAAGTTTAAATATATAATGTAACTCTTCCAACTCTGCTCCATTCCTTCTTGCCTCTCCTCCTGCAGCTACTGTGCTTTATCTTCTCTTCATTGGATTAACATAATTCTTTTGCATGTAGTACTTCAGATAATACCTTCCCAACTAGATGAAGTGCTCTGCCTGGGGTGAGGCACAGAGAATATTCTTGGGAAATGTGACTTTTAGAACTGACTCTTTGAGGTTTTAGAATGATGGCAGTTGCTTAAGGAGGAAGCTAGAAAACTTTTCCATTCATCCTTTACTTTGGTTGAGACCATTCACATCATCCTGAATAGTCAGTCACTCACCTATTAAATAACTGAGAGCAATATAACAAGAGTAGGTTATTATAATAATAATATATAATATTATTCGTATAATAAGAGTAGGTTTCTGATTATTGAAATTAGTGGGTTTAGCTGCATGAGTTAGAGGGTGTGTCCATTAACTGATTTTTTCATTGCAGGGGATTTGTATGGTGCTATCGGCTCTCCTGTGCGGTTAGCAAGGACTGTGGTAGTTGGTAAACGACCAGATATGGTCCAGAGACTACTCTATTTTCTTACGTACTTCATAAGATGCTCTGAACTTCAAGAAACCCATCTTTTAGAAAATGGAGAAGATGAAGCCATCGTTATGCCAGGCACAGTAATTACTACCACTTTAGAGAAAGGTGAAATAGAAGAATCTGAATATGTGCTTATAACAATGCATAGAAACAAAAGCAGTTTGCTCTTTAAAGAATCAGAAGAAACAAGGACTGCTAACTGTAACTGTAAATATTGTAGCCATCCACTTCTTGGGCAAAATATAGAGAATATTTCACAACAGAGAGAAGATACTCAAAATAGCTCTAAGGAACTGCTAGGAATTTCAGATGAGTGTCGAATGATTTCTCCTGCTGACTGCCAAAAAGAAAATGCTGCTGATGTTAAACAGTATGGAGATAAATTAAGAACCTGCCTTGACACCAAGTTAGAGACAGTTGTTTGCACAGGATCTGCTCCAATAGACAAATGTGCATTGTCAAAGTCAGGGCTAGAGCCAGCAGAGGAAGCATGGCAGAGAGAAGAATTGCTGGATTCAGATAATCATGCAGACCAAGTGTTGAGATCCACAGGAGTGGTTGTGGAAAAAAAACCACCAGATAAGGATAACCTTGTGACTGCTGCATTTTCTTGTGAGGCAACCCAGACAAAGGTTACTTTCTTGATTGGGGATTCTTTGTCACCTGACTCAGATACTGAACTGCGTAGTCAGGCAGTGGTGGATCAGATCACCAAGCATCACACCAAACCGCAGATGGAAGAAAGAGGGGCTGCTGATCAGCATCAAGAAACAAAACAAACAACTAAGGACCAATCTGGCGAATCTGATATACCAAACCTGGTTTCTGGAGAATCCTGTGACCATCCCTGTTGGAATCCCTCAGACTCAGAAAGCATAAGCTTATTTGATGAATATTTTAATGACGATTCCATTGAAACCAGGACTATTGATGATATTCCAGTTAAAATAAGTACAGAGAGTAAAGAGCATTGCTGTATGTTAGAGTTTTCAAAAAGATTATATACAAAAAATACCAAACAAAACAATGAATTTTGTAAGTGTGTAGAAACAGTTAACCAAGATTCATGTAAAACCTGCTTTCCTCAGCAGGATCAAAGAGATACACTCTCCATTCTTGTCCCCCATGGGGATAAAGAGAGTTCAGAGAAAAAAATTGTTGTAGGGAGTGAGTGGGACATTCCAAGAAACGAAAGTTCAGATAGTGCCCTTGGAGATAGTGAAAGTGAAGATATAGGTCATGATATAAGTAGACAAGTAAGCAGTTATTATGGAGGAGACCAAGAAGATTGGGCAGAAGAGGATGAGATACCTTTTCCTGGGTAAATATAAGATTTTATCTAAATATATACTATTCTTTAACTGGTCCCTGAAGGTTGGTAGTAACAGATACAATAATCTACACTTTCTTGGTGTTAATAATGTTTATTATCCTGGAACAATTCTTTTATTATCATGTGCTTTTATTCATAGAAAAGATTAAAGGCTAAGCCCTTTGGGCAGACCAGAAGGGCTTTGTGAAGGCATTAGAGAAAAATTATGTTGGTATGTAGGGGATTCTTTACATTTGTATTTCAAGCCATTTAGGAGTGTATTACACTCCTAAAAAGAACTTAAGACTGAACTATACTCTCAAAAAAAATTTATGCTGAGCCTGACAACTTGGGAGAGAGAATCACTGAGAAGATAGAAAATGACTGTTAGAAATATATTTGTTCAAAATTAAGATGAAATTAGGAAATACATACTTAATTCAAGGGAGAGATTCATCCTTGAGAAATTTTATAAAAAAGCTTTGAATTTGTTTTTGATGATGACTTTCATAATAGACTGTATTGAGAATGTGTTATAAACACAAGGGACAGCGTTCCTAAAGTCTATCATGAAAGATTTATGCTCACCTCATTTGGAGGTGTCCCATCAGATCCTCTACTCTGTATAGAAAGGAGTGTTGTCTGATTGAGCGCTTAAGCTAATTTTTATTTTAGGATGATTTTACTCTGAATATATTTTATAGAAAAGAAATGTACAAGAAATACGGATTAATAGTCTTAACACTTTCTTGGTGTTAAAAATGTTTACTACTAATTAGATTATACCTTCTTTGGGGAACTTTCTTCCAGATCAAAATTAATTGAAGTGAGTGCTGTTCAGCCAAACATTGCCAACTTCGGAAGGTCCTTGTTGGGTGGCTACTGTTCATCTTACGTGCCTGACTTTGTTCTTCAAGGAGTTGGGAGTGATGAAAGGCTCCGTCAGTGTCTGGTATCAGATTTATCTCATGCTGTGCAGGTGAGTGACTTTTACTGACCTAGAATTTTTTGATTAGAGATCTTTTAATCAACAGAACTGCTATATATTTTTGGTAACATTTTTCTGGATACAGTCATGATTCTCTAAATTCACCACTTTATATATATTGCCTGCATATTTATACCTGTCATTGTGAAAGCAAGTAGAAAATTCCAGGAATTTATCCAAATAGAAATATGAAATAGAGAAATTATTGTGTGTATTCATGGATCTTCATCAGTTGAGTATTTGTAATATCAAAAAGTTGTAAATGCTTATATAATGGATTATTTTCATGATTTCATTTTCACATTGTTCATTGCTAGTATATAGAAGTATAATTATTTCTTTGTATCTTGTATCCTGCCACCTTGCAAACTCTTATTAGTTCTTACAGTTTTTTGTGTGAATTCCTTAGAATTTTTACATACAGGATTTTGTCATCAGTGAATGGACAGTTTTACATCTTTCTTTCCAGTCTGGATACCTTTTGTTTCTTTTGATGATGCAGGCTAGGACCTTCAGTACAGTGTTGCATAGAAGTGTTAACAGTGAACATCCTTCTCTTTTCCTGATCTTATGGAAAAATAATTGAGTCTTTTATTATAAGTATGGAAGTACTTGTTGGATTCTTGTAAATCCCTTTTATCAGGTGGGGAGAGTTCCCTTCTATTCCTAGTTTTCTTAGTTTTATTCTTTAAATCATAAATGGATATAGGATTTTGTCATATACTTTTCTGTGTCTATTAAAATGATTATGTGACTCTTTAAATTGATAATAGGTTATATTCACTGATTTTTAGATGTTGAACCAACACTTGGTCATGGTGTGTAGTCTTTTTTTCATTGTTGCTGAATTTGATTTACCAAATCCAGTGTGGTAGATTTTAGAGTCTGTATTCATAAAGGATGTTAGTCTATAGTTGTCTTGTAATGTTTCCATCTACCTTTTAATGTCAGAACCATACTTGCTCATTAAATGAGTTGGAAAGTTCCTCCATTTTCTGGGACGGTTTCTGAAAGACTGATACTATTTTTCTCGCGGTGTTTGACAGACTATACCAATGAATCCATCTGAGCGTCAGTTTTTAAAATGAGAATATTTTAAAGTGCTAATTCAGTCTCTTGTTACAGTTTATTCTGACTTTATTTCTTCCTCAATTTTGATAATTTTTGTCATTCTAGGAATTAGTCTTATTTAACTGACCTAATTTGTTGGAATGAAGTTGTTTTTAGCGGACACTTAATAATCCTTTTATTTTCTTTAAGGTCACTGGTGATGTCCCCTTTTTCAATTCTGATTTTTTTTTTTTTTTAAAGATTTATTTATTTATACAAGCACTGGGTACAGTCAGAAGTGCGGAAGGGTGAGCGAATTCACCAGAGACAGAACAGGGAGCAGAACAGGCAGAAGGACTGAAGTACACTGCTGAGGGGAGCGGCGGACGGCAGGAGAGATCTGCGTGCCATGTGGGACCCTCGCCTGGCGGCAGGGGATCAAACCAGCGCTGTAGAGGCTGCGGGCAGCTTTGCAGCCCAGTGCTCGACCCGCTGCGCCACTGGGGAGCCCCCTTTCAATTCTGATTTTTATGATGTGCTTTTTTTTCTTTTTTCCCCCATAAGTTAGGGGAATCCTCCAATGAGGAATTCATTCATGGCTTGACTTATTTGGTAGATATTTTTGGCCCATATGCATCAGTGATTAGCAAGGCATGGCCCAGAGGATAATTAGACCTGCTTTGTGTAAATGAAGTTTTGTTGGAACATGATCATACACATTTATTTACATTCTTTATAACTTTTTTCTACTTCAGCTGCAGAGTTTTGTCAAGTTTGCTGATTCCTAATCTAGTTTAAGGTTTGTCCGTTTTGTTGATCTTTTTAAGGAAACAGCTTTTCATTTTCACTGGTGTAGGGGGCAGGAAGGGGCACAGGGCAGGATCTCTATAACCCAAGCAGACGGAATAAAGGAGGAGAGAGTCCTGGAGCCCTTAGTGGCTTTTGTAGGCTTTTATTGGGGTTTACCGGGTACATGGCATATAAGGGTGCTGGGGGGCCGGGAGGCTGGCAGACCTCCCAGCCCCCAGCAAGTCTTCACTCTATCTGAGGCCTCCAGCGTTTTCTCGTGACCTTGCTTCTCTGCTCTCGTGGTTCTCTCTCTCTGGTAGTTCTGTTCTGCTGCTTCTCTGCTTCTCTTTCACTCTCGTGGTTCCCCTTGACGCCGCCCTTATAAGCCCAGTCTTAGCCCAGGTGAATCCCATCTACATATGCCCACACCGCACTCCAGGTACCCGCCATCAGGCATGCATTCGGGACATCAGGGTTCCATCATCTATCCTAATGGCAGGAGGGCAGAAAAGCCTGATACTTTTTTCCTTACCCTACAACTGGTTAAAGATATATGTCTTTTTGTAGCCAATTGTATTTATTTGAATTTCCTTCAGAGGATGCGAGCTTTGGTGTCTTTGTTTTTTAACATCAAGCAAAGAGCTTTGTTCAAAGTGATTGTTCCTTAAATGGGCAATGGGATATCTTTTGGTGGGGTGCCAAACCTGTGCTTCTTCAGGAGCAAGCATGTATACTTAGCTGCGAAACTGTAGTAATAATGAAAGTTAGAAAGGAAAAAAAGCCATTGGGTTCAGGTGTTGTAAATTGTAGTTTTTTAATCTCAGTGTTATTGCTGGTATTCCAAATGAGCAGTGAAGAGGAAATCTTTATCTTTCAAATACAGAAATATGTTGCAGTATTGAGCACTGTAGAACTGTTCTCTCTTTCTGATAATGGTGCTCTTTACTTAATTATCGCTTTCAGTTTTTATGTGTAAACCATTGGGAGCCAGGGACATATGTGCCTGTAGTCCTTTTATCACTGTATATATGTTTAAAATGTTTTCCTGCTCTCCTGCTTACCTGTGTCTGTGCAGGTACCTCTCTCTCTCACTCTCTTTTTCCTTAAAAAACTGTCTTTTTAAAATGTAAAAAACAAAACATACTTTTTCCATTGTGCCTAATTATAAAATTTTCTAATTATAAATTTTCTAATTATAAAAGTGTCATTTAGCAAATGTTTGTGATAAACAACATATAAAGACATACAAAATAAAAAGAAAGTCTTCTACATGTTCTATAGTTATTTATAAATATATGGTAAAGAATTTGAGTATTTTTTAAATATACTTTGATTTAGATATAGGTGTGAATTTATTAAAGTGTTGTTGGGATAAATGTGTGTATGCATAATGCCTTTTTTGTTTCATTTAATGTTTCTTAGAAACTCAAGTTTGTACCTATTGGTTTGCTTCTTTTAAACTGTTAGCATCTGGGCCTCCCTGGTGTCACAGGCGGTTGAGCGCAGCACTGTGAAGCTGTCCGCAGCCTCTGTAGTGCCAGTTTGATCCCCGCCTGCCTCCGAGCAACCCATATTGTGAGCAGACCTCTCCTGTCTCGCCTGCTGCTCCCCTCAGCAGTGTGTTTCAGTCAGTCTGCCTGTTTTGTTCCCTGCTCTGTCACTGAATCCTCTCACCCCCCGCATCTCTGGTCTATACCCCAGCTCATGTATGCATACATAAATAAATCTTTAAAAAAAAAAAATCTCTTAAAAAAAAGCTGTTAGCATCTATACTCTGAATATATATCTTAATAATTAGAAAAACCTAGCACCCATGGCCTAGCACACAAGGAATAGACCCTAAGGCGCTCAAATTAATGCTTGCCACGTTGGGGTAGTTAGCTAGTTAGCACAGAACTTTTATTTTATTACCATTGACTTGTTCACTTGAATGTCTGTCCTATCTATTTTAGAAATGTTTAGTTCTTTCAAGATTAAAAAAAAAGCGTTTTCTTCCAGTTGTCTGACACATTGTTGTCACTTGTTAAATTCATTGAATAATGATCAGAAGACCGATGAAAAGTAAGTTCTGCATTAAAGAACATTGAGTTCTGGTAATAAATACAAAGTCTCTACCTCTGATGATTTCTGTATGGTAACTCAGTTTTTTTGTTGTTGAGTAAATTACAGTTGGCCGTTGTACAGCAGGGATTTGAACTGTATGGGTCCGCTTATATGGAAATTTTTTTCAAGTTCCCTTTCCCCACATCCTCCTTAGCCTACTCACTGTGGAAATGATGAGAATCAAGACCTTTATGATCTTCTTAATCATGATTTTCGTAATAGCATTTTTTATCTATAGCTTATTTTATTGTAAGAGTGCAGTATATATTACACACACACAAAATATGTCTTAATTGACTGTGATCAGTATGGTTTTGGTCAGCAACTGGATATTTAAGTTTTGGGACGTCAACAGCAATATGTGGATTTTTGACAATGCATGGTAGAGATGGGGAGTCACTGTCCCTAGTTTCCTCATTATTCATGAGTCAACTGTACTTCATTGTCCAATGTTAAAGATTCCTTGGCTGTAGTAGTTAGAATTTAATACTGTTTTTGTTTAGTATTGGTTTACTTCCTCATTTCATTAGCATTATGTTTGAGGACTTCATTTGCTTACCATGAAATGAATTCTTTTCTTTACAGCATCCAGTGTTGGATGAACCAATAGCAGAAGCTGTGTGTATTATAGCAGATATGGATAAGTGGACAGTTCAAGTGGCCAGTAGCCAGAGACGAGTGACAGATAATAAATTGGGAAAGGAAGTACTGGTTTCCAGTCTTGTTTCTAACCTGCTTCATTCCACGCTTCAGCTTTATAAACATAATTTATCTCCAAATTTTGTAAGTATGTGTGAGATTGGAATTTGAGCACTCTGATAATTATACCTGCATTAAATACTGCTGTTAGCGTCATCATTGTTTTTCTGAAAGAAATCATATGGATTGAGTGATTCTGTTCCCCGAAAGCCCATTTGTTGAAACTCCTAATCCCCAGGGTGATAGTATTTGGAGATGGGCCTTTGTGAGGTAGTTAAGGTTAAAATACATCATTAGGGGCCTCCTTGGTGGCACAAGGGGTTAAGACGCAACCTATGAAACTATCCGCAGTCTCTGCAGCACGGGTTTGATCCCAGCTGGCTGGGTAGATACCTACATGGCACGGCAGACCTCTCCTGTCTCGCCCGCCGTTCCCCTCGGCAGTGTATTTCTGTCGGTCTGCCTGTTCTGTTCCCTTCTCTGTCTCTGGTGAATCCTCTTACCCTCCCGCACATCTGGCCTGTACCCTGGTTCTTGTATAAATAAAAATAAATCTTAAAAAAAAAAAAAAATATATATATATATATATATATATATATATATAAAACATTGCTGAAAAGAAATTAAGGAAGATACACTAAATAGAAAGACATCTCATGTTTATGAATTGGAAGATGACAGTACTACCCAAATTGATCTACTGATTTAATGCAATCTGTATGGAAAATTTCTGTGATTTTTCTTTTAGAAGTAGGCCCTCTCCCCCCCTAAAAGAAAAGAAATACACCCTTCCTAAAATTTGCATGGTATTTCAAGGGAACCTGAAACGTTAAAACCACTTTGAAAAAGAACAATAAAGTTGGAAGACTCACGCTGCTTTCAAAAATTAAAGTGACAGTAATCAAAACTGTGGTATTGACATACAGACATATAGATCAATAGAATATACTGGAGAGTTCAGAAATAAATCTTTACATGTATGGTCAGTTATTTTTTAAAAAGGAAGTCAACAGCTTTCGAAGGGGAAAGGAGTCTTGTGAAGAAACCATGCTGAGAAAATTGGATACACATATGTAAAAGAATGATATTGAATCCTTATGCTATATAAAAAAAGGACTCAAATATTTTTTTTTAAAGATTTATTTATGCATACAAGAACTGGGCTACAGAGAGGGGATCAGAACAGGCAGATTGATTGAAATACACTGCTGAGGGGAGCAGTGGGTGAGTCAGGAGAGATCTGCTGTGCCATGTGGGCAGCTCCCTGGCAGAGGGTCAAACTCATGCTGCTGTTGCAGATTACTTAACCCCTTGCACCACAGGGAGGCCCTCAAACTTAAATTTAAACCTAACCTTAAGTGCTTCAACTCTGTGAAGAAAACTAGGGGATATATATATATATATATATATATATATATATGACTTAGAAGACTATGTGTTGGCATGTGAAGAAAAAGGAACCCTCTCATACTGTTGGTAAGTACGTAAACTGGTCCAACCATGTGGAAAACAATATGGAGGTTTCTCAAAATATTAAAAATAAATACACCATATGATCCAGCAGTTCCACTTGTAGGTGTCTACCCAAGAAATGCAAAAACAGTGATCAAAGGGATATATGCACTTGTATGTTCATTGCCATACTGTTTAGAATAGCAAAGTTATGAATGTAGCCTTGGTGCCCAAGGATGGATGAGTAATATTCCACTGTATACAGTCCGCATTTTCTTGCATCTATGAACATATTCTAGTGCATAATATAGCTGAGTAGTTCAAGAAAATGTGGAATGTACACAGTGCAATGCTTACTACTCAACTAGCTATATTTGCTACAATATGGATGGAACTAGAGGGGATTATGCTGAGCAAAATAAGCAAGGAGAAAGACAAATAACAGATGGTTTCACTTACATGTGGGATATAGAGAAGCAAAACAAAGGGTCATGGAAAACCAAATGAAAATAAACCTTGAAAGTCTGACTGTAGAACTGAAGCTATTGGAGGGCACAGGGGAGGCAGATGATTCCTGATGGGCTACAGTGGAGGACTGAGTGCTTTGCTGGTAGATGTAGAGGGGTAACATATCTGAGGAGGTGTGATGCTGTGCCTCTAAATCATATACAGTATTGTAAGCCAATGTTACCTCAATGGAAATGAAGAAGAAAGAAAATAGTGGGATAATCTATACCACCTTGGATTTGACCCAAAAGTACAGGCAGCAAAACAAAAATGGATTAACTGAACTTCATTAAATTAAATACTTCTGCACATCAAAGTACAGTATCAACATATATATTCTATAGTTAGCATTTTATTCTTCACTTAAGGTATTTTCACACTTAAGGTATTTTCCATGAGCATCATGGAAAAATCACACACCACAAAAAAACAATGTGCCAGTAAATCTATTTAGTTGTGTTTTCCCCAGGAGAAAATGGGTTTTTACAGCTGATTTTCTTTGGAAGGGAATTGTCTGACAGAATTTAGTGTTTTAAAACCTGAAACTCATGTTTTTTCTTGAACCATTTTTAGCATCAATTCACATGAAAATTCATCTATTTTGTAAACTCAACAAGTTAATTGATGTAAACAAAGTGTATGTTTTAGTTTTTAATATTCCAAATTAGAACATCTCTATTTTAGTTAGGACTGCAGAACATTCTTTCTGAGCTATTGCAAACTCATTTTCTTTTACTTGTCCACAGGAGAATACAGCCTTTTCTGTATTAATAAATTTGAAATCAATTTATGAGAGGGTTATATTTGTCAAATTTGGAATAAAAACTTTAAGTTCTGGAATGGATAGTTTTACATTTTGAATGTGCGTTATGTTACCCAGTTGTACACATGAAATAAAATGGTAAATTTTGTTAGGTATAATTGTCATCTTTAAAAACAAAAGAATGTAGAAGCTAAACTTTGATATGAGCTATGAAAAGATTTACACTTCTGTGGCTAAAATTGCATGCTTAAAAATGTACTCCATTGTGCTGGAATGAATAAATAGAATTGTCAAAAGCATGATGCTCTGTAATTTACCATCACTTAAGAGCTGGAAGCCATTTTCTGATCTGGTTCTTGTTTGCCCTCTATTTGCAGTGTGTAATGCATCTTGAAGACAGGTTGCAGGAGCTATACTTCAAGAGCAAAATGCTTTCAGAGTACCTGAGGGGGCAGATGCGTGTTCATGTCAAGGAACTAGGAGTGGTTCTAGGGTATGTTCATGACTTATTTTCTGACTTTCCTTTCTCGTTGTTCTGTCTTTAAGCAAAAAATTGTTGTTTTTCTTTTAAAATGTCTTTTTCTGTTAGATGCTGGTCACTGTTTACCAGTGGGTTGCTCTATATCATGTAAAAACAGATACCTAACTTTCATTGATCTAAAAGGCATTGTTTCCAGTGCCATTATAGTAAGTTGAGAATATAGATAAAAATGAATTAGAATCTAATTTTGGATGGTAGTATATTATCTACCATTATATAATTAGTCTTTGCCCATTTTCTGTATATTATATCTGTACATTCCTGCAGTTATTGCTGGAAAGCAGGCAGTTATCTCAAATGCTAACTGAAGGAAGAACAGTAAATTGGTTCAAGGCATTGTATAACCCTTTTTATTATATTGTGTGGTCACTTACGATCTGTGGCCACTTTTGTGTGTGTGTGTGTGTGAATTATTTCTTGAAATGCTAGTTGAATAAATTAAAACAAACTAGAACTTTTGTCTAATTTTGCTTTGAGGGAGAAAGAACCGACACTGTTAGTAGCCCACTATATGTCAGAAACCAAATTAAATACTTTCATTTATATTATTCCTGTCATCCAGATTGGAAATAGATGATTGTGTGTGTGATTTTTTTTTTTTTAAATTTAGTTTTTAAAGTAATGTGCTTATAACCAAAGTTCACAGTGCATTTTGGCATAAAACTAAAAGTAACAGTCATCATTGTTTTTTCCCCAGCTTCCAGCCCCTACTCAAACAATGGATAATGGATTGTTTTATTTCACAGAATTTTTTAATTTATAGAATTGAAGCAAAACAAATTGGTTTATAATAATATATTTTGCATATGAACATATACTAATCTACCTCATTATTTTTATTTACTGTGGCTCTTATATGATGGAATTTAGATTATTTTCAGTTTTATTATTGTAAGCTTGAATGAATGAAATCTTTTAATCTTGTGTGATAAATTCTTTGAAGCAGAATTTTGGGTAAAGGATGTTGTATTATGTTTTTGATAGGTATTGATAGTTATTCTAATAGATAATATTAAATAATGTCCAGAAAGTACTGGAGTAAATTTTTACAAGTAATGAGAAATACACTTTTTACTACCAGTTCTTATGGTATTATTTTAAATCCAGGCCAAGTCACTAGCTGAAAAGTGGAATGTTAGTTTTTTTTTGATTGAGCACCTTCATTTTTTATTTTATTTATATATATTTTACATCGTTGTTCATTTTTAAACAATGTTTGCTTTTCTCCCCCCCCCCCCCTTAGGTGTAGTCCCTGTAGAATTTCCTTCACCAGTTTCACCCTGTACAATCACCATATAGGGGAACCAAATAAGACATCAGGGGTAAAAAAATAATAATAGCAATACAAAACACAATAAAACATAAACAAGCAGACAATTATAAACCAGAGACAATACTGTAGGGGAGGACGAGGGAGAGGGATTAGAGGGAGGAAGGAGCACAGGGGACTATGGTGATGGAACGTTGTTTTATTCAGATTTATTCTCTAACCATGAATGAGTCCTGAATAACTTATTTTATGGTTACTGGTCATTTTTTACTATAAATGATATCTGGTAGGATGTATTTTTTTTTTTTTAACAATTACATTCTATTTTTTTAAAGATTTATTTATTTATGCGTACAAGAGCTGGGGTACAGGCCAGAGATGTGGGGGATGAGAGGATCCACCAGAGACAGAGGGGGGAACAGAACAGACAGACCGACTGAAATACGCTGCTGAGGGGAGCAGCGGGTGAGTCAGGAGAGGTCTGCTGCGCCATGTGGGTTGCTCTCTGGCCGGCCAGGGATCGAACTCATGCTGCAGAGGCTGCAGATTGCTTCATAGTGTGGTTATTAACCCCTTGTGCCACCAGGGAGGCCCAGATGTGTTTTTTTTTTTTAAAAAAAGATTTATTTATTTATGCATACAAGAAATGGGGTATAGGCCAGAAGTGTGGGGGGTGAGAGGATTCACCAGACACAGAGTGGGGAACAGAACAGGCAGACTGGCTGAAATACACTGCTGAAGGGAGCAGTGGACAAGGCAGGAGAGGTCTGCCACAACATGTAGGTTGCTCCCTGGCTGGCTGGGGCTCAAACTCGTGCTGCAGAAACTGCAGATAGCTTCACAGTGCTATGCTTAACCCCTTGCGCCACCAGGGAGGCCCAGTAGGATGTATTTTAAGAAGATTCCATTACTACTTCTTTGTTTATCTTATTTATAGAAATATTTGTCATCAAAAACAATGAGTACACAATCCTAATCTGTTCTATTGTATTTCTGAGATATGGGCAATCAGAAGGTCAATGAGAGGCTTTCTAACATCCATGACTTTGCTATTGGGGTTTAGGGACTTTCGTTTTAAAAAATCTTTGGTTCTGTTTTTTACTAACTGAAAAATTTCCAACCTGCGTTATCTTCAATTCTTACCTTTTCCCTTTGGTCCACAGTGATCTAAACCCTTGACAGCTCAGGTATAGTGACCTACATTGCCTATAGGACTCATCTTGTATTGCAAAAACCTGAATTTTATTTTTTTCCCTTTTATTTTAGGATTGAGTCCAGTGATCTTCCTCTTCTGGCTGCTGTAGCAAGCACTCACTCACCATATGTTGCCCAGATACTCCTTTAGCATGCTCAGAAAAATTAACTTTGGTGGAAAGTTTAAGTGGAAGCCAAGGAAGCAGACACACTATCCATTTATGGCATTTTTTTTTTCCCTGTTAGACTTCCTCCTGAATGAATCCGTCACGTGGATGTCCTCCATTGCAGTGCATATTTTGTGAGCATTTGATAGCTTTTTCCTTTTGACTGGACTTTTGCAAGGTGGTAGATTTTTAACTAAATGGAACTAAAATAGCATAAATAATTTTGTGGGAAAGCATTTGAAAAAACCAAAATGTTAATGTAAAAATTTTACAAACTGAATAGTACTAAGAAATTTCATAAGATCACTACAATGTTGCCATGATTCATAAATAATAATATATGGCTCATTGTTAAATGGCGCAGAAATACTCATTTTATTAGTTTAATTCTTCTAAAGTACAGATCTGTAAAACTTTATTTTTTGTTTTTCAGCTCAAAATAGCAAATTTCTGGGTATTTCTCAAAGTATTCAAAATGGCCTGTTAATTACAATAAACATAATAATGAGTGTAAATCTGTTTTGTTATCCACCCAGGTGTACATATGTATCTATTTTTTTTTTTTTTTAAGCAGGGGTAAACTACAAGATTGGTAAACATGCCTTTTTAAGAAAATATATTTTCAACTTGTATTAATTGTATATAATGTCAAAATGTTACTTTTCAGTGATTTTTGTGTTTCACACACCCTAAAATATAATTAAAGCCAATCTTTTCTTAAGGCTAATGAATATAAATTCACAAAATAAGTATACTACTTTATACCATTTGTTTTGTTTACAAGTATAATTCTTATAAATGTTAATATTTACATATTCACTAATTTAATAAATGAAAATTAGGGATAAAAATGACACCAAAGCATTGGCAAAATTAATACTATTTTCATTGAAAGTGCTCAGGTAGCCGAGGCCCTTGCTTTCGGTATCGGCCCTTATTCAACTCATAGAACTGAATGTTTGCTTCACTGCTTCATAATACTCTTTTTGCACTAATAGAACTCATTAACTGTTTAAGTTACTCTTTTTTCTCTAATAGCCCCTCTCTTCCAAAAGCTGATTTTTTTTCAAAGATTTCCACTCTTTTAATTGTTACTGTTTTTGTATATACTGTAGAGTTGCTTGTAAGAAAGGCTAATATGGAACCAAACTATTGTAAGTAATGTAAATAGAAAGATAGGTAGGTAAAATCGTCAATATGCTCTACTACCTCAGTTTACTTGAATACTACATTATAGTTAATTCTTTACTTAATCTGGTTTAAGATATATATATATTTTTTTTTTTTTGGTTTAAGATATTTTTAATGCTGCAAGTGAAGTTGGTTTCTGCTTTTATGAAATATTTTCATCATAATTAATTGATTAGCTTAAAAAAAGAAAACCACTTGCTTTATTCTGTTACTAAACACATTACTGTATAATACATCTGTTGTTGCTCTTTAAATTTTTAATAATTAAGGAATATTTCCACAGTTTGTTTAGACTTTGACCTTGAATTTATAGTGTTGGGTCATATTTTGCCTTGCTTTTTATGTATTCAAGAAATCTCCAACTAGACTAAGGAGAAGTGTTTGTTTTAATGGAATGTAAACCTGAAACTGGTGTTCCTGCAATCAGTTTGGCCCCTTGTCCTATCAGTTCTTCCCAGCTAGTACCTAAGTCTCCCGTGGATGACTTGCTGCCAAAGAATGTTTATGGATATATTTTCTTTGGCTTAATTTTTTTATCCTTTCGTTAATGAAATTCTTTCCTCTTGCTTGGAATTCTATGAATATCTCTTTGGCAGAATTCAGAACATAAAAAAGTTCATATATGGGCCTTTGGATATTACTTTTTCATTATAGCTCAGAATGATATGTAGCATTTTTTGTATGTTTTTTTTTTAAATTAATTATCAAACTAGTCATAGTTCTATCTATTTGAAATCTCTAATTACAATTTAGGAAATCAGTCTTCGTTCAGTAAGTGGATAGCTCATGTACTTGGCTTTGCTTGGAAGGAGAAGGCCCATAGTTTCTTATAAAATCACTAATCCTTATAGGATTCCTGAGTTTTATAATTCCCAGACCACCTTTAACTTCTTCTACTTTTGTCATAGTCATTCTTTCCTTATATACAAAGCCTAAGAAATGAGCTGCTACTGCTTCTTTAAGTGTGGTCACTATGATGAATGTGAAAGTTTTTGCCTCTTTGAAATAATTTTTCTCAACTTCTTATGGTACAGATATGTGTTACATATTTAAAGAAACCTGTTTGTTGAAACAGGAAATGAAAAAGGGATCTTTAATATTATAGATTTAAAACTAATTTTCCTTGTATATAAACTAATTGGTTTGATTTTACATATTTGTGGTTTTTATTAATATGTCTTAATTTGAGTTGAAAAGTGCAATAAATGTACTAGCACAGAATTCATTTTGTTGCAATTGGCATACACTGGGGATGATCACTTTTAAAAAAACCAGATTTTACACAATGACTCCTGGTAGATGTCTTATGAGAATGTTATGCTTTCTCTAAGTTATTTAGATAGTGGGATATATAAAATGTATATACTTGTTCCTTGTTCTGTACACATTTCTCAGATGTTCACCTGTACTATAATAAACCTCCCAGTTCTCGGGGAAATTTGTGCAATAAAATACACATGTCAATTTGATGTGTGATGTTCGTCTTTCTTTTCATGTGTTATTGAGACATGCTCACATCATGAACTCTGTTGTCAGACCACTTTGATTCTTTGCCCAACTGTCACACTTTTAGGTGCATGACTTTGTTCATATTGTCATTCTTTAATCCTCAATTTCTGTATTGGTAATTTGGTAGAATCTATTTTATGAGGCAAAAACCAACTTGACTTGTGAACATTATTTCCCTGTTTTCTCTTTATAGTTTAACCTCTGTATATGTAGCCCCAAGTGAAATACTTTAATTTTGCTTGTGTTTGAACTTTGTGCTTGTGATTATATGCCATATTTTATTTATGCTTTGCTTTTTTTCTTTTAACATTGTTGGAAATTCATCCCTGTGCTATGTAGCTGGTATTCTACTGAGTGATTATACTACAGTTTACCCATTACATTGTTGATGAACATTTGAGTTATTTCAGCTTCTGTTTGATATGAGCAATGAACCTCTTTTTTCATCTTTTCTGGTGTATATGGGTATTCTTTGGGACATATATCAAGGAGTGGATTTACTGCCATAGGGTATGTTATGCTTCAGCTTTACCAGAGACTTTTTTTTCCCTCAAAAGTGGTTTCCCAATTTAACTTAACCAACAGCTTGTGAGAGTTCCTGTTGCTTCACATCTTTGCGAATACTTACATGTGTGTCTGAAGAGTTGTTTGTGAAAAACAACTGTTGGCATTAAAAAAAAAAAAAAAAAAAAAAAAACTACCAAGCCCATCTAGTTATTTAAGCTCAAATTTATGCTTTAGAGAAATCACTTCCCAGAGGTAAACAGAAATTATTAATAGAGTGCAGCATCCTAAATTCTTCACAGGAATTATGTAATCTTAGAGAATTCTAAATAAATAAGTCCTTTACTTTATATAGATAAAGAATCTGAAGTTCTGGGATATTAAGTTCACCGTGTCATTTAACTAGAAATTGTTAAACACAAATTCAGGTGTTTGAACCTCATGAAGTTCAGGCTCATTTTTTTTAATGCTTTAATTCCCCTTTTTCCCTATTCAGAATAATTGATAAGGCTCTGGAAAGTGATACTTAAAGAATGGAAGAGATCATTTTTGTGATCTTAGGCCACTGACAGGATGTTTACACACAAAAAATGAAATTTTTATTTCAGTTAAATTCTCCTTGATTTCTCCACCATTACTTTCTTTCCAGGATGACTGAGCCAACGGGCTAATATAATGTAAACTTCAACTGGGCAAGCCCAAGAACCAACATTAGCAAAACCCTTATATCAGCTATCGTTACCAGGAAGACGTTGCAACCCAAAATTTCCCTTTTGTTGTTCTAAAGAAAATTTAATTATTGCCACGTCATTGAAAAATTGTTAACATCATAAGTTAGTGAACCTTGCTAGTTGTTAGAAATACTAAGATGTAAATAGATCTACATAGACTTTAGGGAGCTTAAAATGCAGTGGAAAAGACATCTTTGGTGGCTCAAAGTAAGCAATTGTGTGATTTAGTGTGGCCCATCTGTGCACTAATGAGATGTGAAAAGCATTGTTGTAAAATGATGGATTCTGGAACTCAGTGATCTTAAGATGTGAATAGCTTCTGTAGCTGTCTTCCCCGACAGCTGTTTTTTAAGCTGTTTTTCTTACCAAATGACTAGTAAACACATGGAAATTGTCTGTCTTTGGTCGGTTGAGAAACATACTGTTACATAAAATGTAGTACAAAAGCGGTTAGTTTTATTTAAAAATTTTATTGTATGCCACTAGCCTACATAATTTGGGGGAGTACAACTTCACGCCTCCGTGTAAACGTGCATACTCGCCCTCCCTCAAAGCTCCAGTGTCACAACGCTGTCAACTGTTGAGCCTCGAGAACTATTAAGTCCCACGGTCTGAGGAAAGTGGTGGAGAGGAAAGGAGGGCGCCTTTGGGCAGAAGTACGTCAGAGTACCGCAGACCTGGCTTCTCCAGACAGTGGTAACCCCAACCTGGCGTCAAGGTAGACCAGCTGCCTGTATCTGCTCAAGGCCGAGCAGCTTTGTTTCCTCTGCCTTGATCTCGGTGTAGGGCAGGGCAATTATTTCTCACCGGAGCCCTTTGACAAGAGCTCGATTTCATTAGAAGAACAAGGGAGAGTGCGCGTGGACTTCCTCGTTCGCCAAATGGCGGCTTCGATTTCCGCAAGCTCTCCAAGGGAGGGGCGGCGAAGAGGGAGGCCTGCCCCGAACTCGGCCACGCCCTGCGCTTCCGTATTTCGGCACCCGCTGAGTCCTCCGCTTAGAAAGCGTTCACTGTAGTTTAGTCCCAACTAGCTATTCCGACTCAGCCCTCACAGCGCGCTTCCGGCCTCTTCACCGGAAGCAGGAACAGCCAAACCCGTAGTTCCGGCACCCACCCTAAGAAAGGCTGAGCGAGGTCTCGCGACTCGTCTTTAAATCTCACGGAGGGTTCAGAGGCCTAACTGCACCGCCCCGTCCTTACGTCACTAGGCGCCACGCCCTTGCGCGCCCGTTTGCGTGCGCCCAGCGTGCCGCGCACGCGCACTCCCTCTCCCTCCGCCCCCGCGCTGGCTTCTCCCTGGCCAGTCGCGCGTGGGCTGAGGCCCTGGGCGGGTGTTGCGAAGACTTGTTTGCTTGAGTACGGACCCCGTGGCGTCCGGAGTTCCCTTCCTCGAGTGTGGGGCGCAGACCCCCTGCCCGGGGTGAATGGGCTGTCGCGTGGCCTGCTGAGGGCAGGCTGGGGAGCACGGGGGCCGGGGCCGCGGCCATGAACTCACCCGTGGACCCCTGCGCTAGGCAGGCACTGAAGAAGAAGCCGCCCGAGCGGACCCCCGAGGTAAGGCCGGCCGACCCGGCGCTCGTCCCTCTGCCCAGCGGACGGCATGTCCCAGTTGGTCCTAAACCTGCGGCGGCTGTCCCCGTACCCACCGTCGCACCTGCTAACTGGGTGTCTGCCCTCCGCGCCCCGCACTCCTGACTCGGGCGGTTCTCGAGGGCAGGGTGACTACCGCCTTTCCTGTTGGCCGTGCCGCCTGCCCTCCCGGTGACTTCCGAGTGTGTTTGCTAGGAAAGCACCATTACTGTAACGTGTTTTCTCGGAGTGAAATGCGGGGCTCTAAGTGAGGTTGCCCGCGGGGAGATAGACGGTGAAATCCGAGGTAGAAATTCTAAGTAAACTCTCACAGCTATGTTGAAAGATCCTGAAAGATTGCACAGGGGTTTAAAAAAAAAAAAAGTGAAGTTTTTAGTCATATAAAAATTCTGCATCCAGTCAGATGTTGACTTCTGTGGTGAATGATACATATTTTAATAGAAGTCAAATCTGGAGGTACTTTTCGACATTGTCAGTAGGAAATTTTACAGTATTTTGTGCTTGGATCTGAAACTTCCTATCTTGAGCTAGCAGTAGTAGCGTTAGCTTAAATGCTTTTCACGTGATCTGAAGACTAACTTTCAGGTGTATAACTGAAACCTGTTAATTTTAAGCATCCCGATAGTGCTTATGTTTTTTTGGAAGAGTCTCTTGATTGGGAGGTTTCTATGCTAAGAGATAAGTTTCTTAAACCAGAAAACAAATTACAAGGATGAATGGATTATTGGATTGTCTTGTGTATAGTTTCGAGAAATGAAATGCTTGGTTAATTCTTCTGAGTCGCTTTGGAGAGTTGCAGAGTTAGTGTTTTGTGTAATAGCTCTGGGTAACTTTGAGCTGACTTTTTGTAACTCGACGTTATTTCTAGCCATATTTGTAGACATGATAGGTGCAGCTTTGTTCTGAAATTCTTAAAGCTTTGCATAAACAAGCCAAAATCTGCTACTTAACCAGGGTTCTCTCTTTGAGAACGTCCTTTATAATCCCCCTGGGTCTTAATTTCCCCTCAGTGATTCTTGAAGTCAGATGTGTGTGAGCCAATTGACAGCCTTCAACTTGAACAGGTGAAGTCTGTTTATATCATTAGAATGTATTATAAAAGGCTAAGGATGTATAATGTAGATTTTACTTTTAAATATTACGATAAACTCACATTTTAATGGGAATATCCTACCTCATTTTAAGAGTAGTTTGAAATGCCAGTGTTAAGCCTCAGGAAAATTTCTAAACTATTCACAAACTTATGTTGGCCAGTGTGCTTTGTGAAGTGCTTTATCTTGTTTTACTGGAACAGCAGCATTGTTTAAGAGAATGCTGAACAACTGCCTACAGTGCAGACTAGAATTCTAACATATAATAGCATAATGTGTTAACTGCTTGATTCATTGACAGTGCTTTTGAATGAATGTAGAATTTGAGGTATAAAAGTTGAGTAAAGAAGTTGTAACCTGAATCAAAGTTTTGATTTATTTGTAAAAGTAATTTGATGAACTTTTCACAAGGGGATTTCAGTTTTCAGAAGACCCTTACTCTTTTAGTCAACTCCTCTTAAGGGTTTGTTATTGTACTGCAACCAACCCAGGCCTGGTAAAGTTCATCATCGGTTCAGGAGCTTGAAAGATTCTTGGTGCCCTTGGCATCATCCCCACCAGCAGAGAGGCAGCAACTTGGGCCCCCGTGTGAATCTTTATATGCTCTTTACTCTTTTAGCCATTTTCTGACATTCTCCACTGCATGCGGCTGCCCTGATAAGCTCGGTCTCTGGGTTCAGGTGTGCCCACTTAACGCATGTCCCTACCACACTCCAGGTAATGCCGTCAGGCACGCGTGTCGGACCACAGGTGCTGATCATGGATGCTAATGGCAGGAGCGTAGGGAAAAAACTGATAACTCCCATTCACCGTACAGTTATAAATACATTAATTCAACAATTTGTTGTAAGCTTACTAGTTCAACGCACTGATACGTGCACTAGGATAGGTCATTGAGCTGCAGGCCTGAACTAGGGATGTTTACATTCTAATAAAGTGGGAAAGGAAGATAAACACGTAAATTACACAAAATGTTAGATGATAATTGCTAATAAAAATAGCAGGGTAAAAAGATGGGAAGCAAGAGGCAGGGCTGGGTTGCACTTTAAGGTAGTCTGTGTTGTGCTGGTTGAGATGACTTTTGATTCAAGATTTGATGCACATGTTAGAATTAACCATAGCGATATATGGGGAAAGAGCTTTCCAAGCAGGGAATAGTCATTGCAAGGGCCTTAAGATTGATACTGATTCAGACAGGTCTTTGGCATTCAGGATGTAGGGGCAGAATGGGCACATAGCAGGTTTTCTATGACCCGAGCAGACTGGTGAAGGAGGAGTCCTGGAGCCTTCAGTGACTTTTTCAGGGTTTTATTGGGATTTTACCAGGTACACGGCTGGCAGGGGTGTGAATCTTCACTCTTTCTGGGCTCTCCGGCGTTCTCTCATGGTCTCTGCTGGTTCTCTTCTCTCTCACTTGTTCTCCTCTCTGCTGGCATCCCTGTGTCACCGCCCTTATAAGATCCTGTCTCAGCCCAGGTGAATCCCACCTAGGTATGCCCACATTGCACTCCAGGTGCCCGCCATCAGGCATGCATTCAGGACTGCAGGGATCCATCATCAGTCCTAATGGCAGGAGGGCAGAAAAGCCTGACAATCATTTACCCTACAAGGAATTAGCAATGAACTGAGTGATTGGAGGATGACCAAGGGTGAGAGTTGTAAATGGTGTAAATTCTTGGACTTTTATTTTGAGTGAATGAAGGAGGGGGCTGTCAAAAGCTTTAGAAACAAACGAGTGATATTATCCTTACTTTTTAAAGACTCCCCCCACTGCTTGCTGGGTAGAGAATACACTAAACTGTGTGGGAGCAAGGGTAGAAAGAAACAGGAACATCAGTTAGAGGCTGTCACATTAAAGCAGGGAAGAGATGATGAGGATTCAAAGTGATGGTAATGCAGGTGGGGATAATTAAGGGACTGTTCTACAGGTTTAGCCAACAGGATTTGCTCGTGGATTAGATATGTGCTTTAAAGGAAAGAAGAATCAGGCATGATTTCAAGATTTTTAGCATGAAAAACTAGTGTGTTGGAGTTATCATAAGAGAGTTTGAGCTGCCATCAAAGAGATGGGGTAAGCAGCAGGAGGAGTAGGGGGAGTTGAGGTCAGAAATTATCTTTGGATCATTTCATGTTTGAAATGTCTATCAGAAATGTTAAGGTGGTGTATGCACAAATCTATTTCTAGAGAGAAGGTCAGTCTGGAGATAGACATTTTGTAGTCATTTGTTTGTAGGTAATATTTAAAGTCATGAGACTAGATAAAATTACCAAGGTTGTGAGTGTACAGTGAAAATAGACAAGGACCAAAGATAGTGCCTCAGGTCACTTGAATGCTACAAGATGAGGGGAGAGGAGCAGAAACCTGTAAAGCAGAATAAGTGAGAGCAAATACTACAGTGGAAGAAAACCAAGGAAGATTGTTGGTGTTCTGGAAGCCAAGCAAATAGTGTATAATAAGAGATTAAATTCATTCATTCAACTTATTTTTTCATGACTAACCTACTGGGTGCCAAACATGAAAAAGACACAGATAGATAAGAATCATTGTTTTATAAGCAGAGGTTTGCATCATATAATTATTGAGTAAAGAATGCTTCTGTTTGTTTTTAGGACAAAATTAATGGTTTATTTTAAACCATCTGTTGTCCTTACGTGTAACTATCAAGTCAAGCATAATTTAGTGAGCCAGACACTGAAAATGTGCTGTAAAATGTTATTTACAACCCAATTTTTACTTTTCTGGCATTTCATCTGCTTTGTAGGTCTTGCTTCCACAGCACGTTGTCTTTCCTGGGCTAGTTCTCTGGTTTCCTTTTCCACTTTGCAAAGATTTTTTTTTTTAATGAAAATTTTAGACTTAAGTACTCTGTGATTGCTCTTTGTAAACAACAAAAGCTGTTGAGGTACTCATTTTGAGTCCTTGCACCAAAATAAAAGCAGCCAGTCAAAACAGATCTTGAGTTTGACTGTTTTTCAACTCAGTCCATGTTCTACATCGTTCTTTTATCTTTTTTTTAAACCTCAGTGACCTCTTATATCTCTTGCAGTTTATTACTCTCTTAGGTGCTTACTACAATGCTTTACACATAGTAAATTGTCAGTAAATCCCTCAAACAAAACAAAATTTAGATATGTTCTGAGATAGTTGTTAGGCGTCCTCATCACTTGTGAATATTATAGTGTGTAATTACATACCTAGACTCTGTGGGGACCAACATAGTAATGTGGTCCATTGTTGACCAAAATGTCATTACACAATGCATGACTGTATTAAAAGAGAATAATGAATAGAAACATTTGTTAAATTGCTGAATTTGTGTATCCTGGGCAGTCTCATTGAGCGTCTTGGAGTGAGTTAATTTTTATAGGCTAATATGTAAGATTATATATTCCATCTTAGTCCCTTTCATGTGCTTCAGATCCTTATGTCTAATCAATAAATTGTTTTCTACATTCATAGTCCTGATTTGGAGCCATTATCGTTTCTACTCAATAATCTATTGGCGACTGCCCCAGTTACTCCATGCACAAATTTGTTTTTACTCTTTTTTTTTTTCTTTACGCTTCCCCAGTGAGTATTTGTTAGACAATGATTCAGGATCCCAGGGTGGGTGGGGATCACCATGTATTTATATATCCCTTCATCCTGGGAAAAGGACCAAAGGACAGAGGAGAGGCAGAACCAGTTCAGATCTTCTTGGAGAATGTGCCTTTTGCCTGGCTGTTGTCCCAGGTTGACACCCAGGTTGTTCTGCCAGCAGTTACTGTTTTGCTCTGATTGGGGAAACCGCTATCAAAAAAGGAGCAGCTGGGTGATCTGCTTCTGTGGTGCTGACACCTAAAGGCCACCTGAATACCCTGAAGCACCTCCAG